CTGTTAATTAACCTTTACCTTGTGTGCACGACAACTCATACGACAGCGATCCGTCGTCCTTTTTCTTTGACTCGGTGACTTTGTGAGAGATGTTTTATGCCGATTATATCTACTATTTGATATGATCGTGCGGTTGATCCATCGCCGCGCGGTTCACGCGCCAAATGACGAGTCGAAGTGTATGCGTAGTTTGACCACATTCAGGCGATTCATAGCTTAATAAGCTCCGAAGAAGCTATATATACCTCTGCAATGCTCGCTAGCTAGCTAAGCTGGCAACTGCAAGTGAAGCGGCGACATGACGACGACGACGACGACGACGAGGAGGTTTGTTCAGCTTGCAGCTTGCGCGGTGGCGGTGCTGCTCGCCGTGGCGGCGAGCGGAGCGGCAGCGCAGGGCGTCGGGTCGGTCATCACGGAGGCGGTGTTCAACAGCATGCTGCCCAACCGCGACAACTCGCTGTGCCCGGCGAGGGGCTTCTACACGTACGACGCCTTCATCGCCGCCGCCAACTCCTTCCCGGCGTTCGGCACCTCCGGCGGCAGCGCCGAGCTCATCCGGCGGGAGCTCGCCGCCTTCTTCGGCCAGACCTCCCACGAGACCACCGGTACATTATTAATTACAGTGTGCAGATTAATCTTACAGCCATTTTTTTACCATCTTGATCTGAGTATTAACCGTGGTAAATTAATTCAGATGGAACGAGGGGTAGTTCTGACCAGTTCCAGTGGGGTTACTGCTTCAAGGAGGAGATAAACAAGGCGACGTCTCCACCCTACTATGGACGTGGCCCAATTCAATTGACAGGGTAACTATAATTAATTGCAGAAATAATTTTTCCATTGCTCCAATAGAGAGAAGTAAATTAAACGACTGTCTCATATCCAAAACATAAAAAAAATATCATCTAATTAACTACATAAATAATTTTCCACTGCTTTTTTTTTTACTCTTGGCAACGGCCTTCTGACCGTTTGTGTTGTGTAACCAAACTCTGTTATCTTCTTTTAATATATTGACGTGTAATCTTTTTACGTGTTCGTGAAATTTTTTTTTCACTGCTCCGATAGAGAGAAGTAAATTAAACAATTCTCTCATATCCAAAACATAAAGAAAGACATCATCTTGAAAAGTACTGGAGTAGGAGCCACAAAAATAAACCAATTTCGACCTGGTCAAATAAGGTTTCTCTTTCGCATCACAAGTTTACTTTAGTTCTTATCCTTTTCTTCGTGGTCCAACAATCCTATCTGTCGGCTACAGCTTCTTCATAATTAATACTTATATGTTCTTAAATTTTGCCACTTCCTTAGCAGTATACTACCCTTATAGCATAAATTATGAAAGTCACGTAAGTTATATTAAAAAAAGCATGTAGCCTAATGGTTACAGTGGCTTAACTAGCACCTTAATTAAGGTTCTGAGTTTAAATATTTAAATATATAACTTAAATGTTATTAATTATGGTCAAAGTTAAATCGCGTCGTTGACTGAACGTGTTCTAAAACAATTTATTTTTAGGTTGGAGGAACTATGCACGAATATAGGTTAATCAGATATAATCGAAATTTAATTATTTGAAGGTTAGCGATAGTCAATTTTTTTCCCAATATCATTATCTTAGTAGGTTCTCACTTGGTCCTAGAATAAAACGTGTTATAAAACGATTTATTTTTAGGTTGGAGGAACTATTCATGAATATATGTTAATCAGATATAATCGTGTAATTTCTACGCAATTTAATTATTTGAAAGTTAGCCATAGTCAATTTTTTTCCAATATTATTATCTTACTAAGTTATCACTTGGTCCTAGAATAAAATTGTTTTTCTCTCTCTCCCATTTGTCCCAAACTTTAGGGGGGGGGGTTGTTTGGATGGGGCTAAAATTTTCTAGTCCCTGTCATATCAGATATTTGAACACTAATTTAAAGTATTAAATATAGACTGATTACAAAATACATTCCATAACCCTGGACTAATTAATTCGCGAGACGAATGTATTGAGCCTAATTAATCCATGATTAACCTATGCGATGCTATAGTAAACATTTGCTAATTATGGATTAATTATGCTAAAAAATTCATCTCATGAATTAGCTCTAATTTATGCAATTAGTTTTATTATTAGTCTATGTTTAATACTTCAAATTAATGTCCAAACATCCGATGTGATAGGGACTAAAGTTTATTTTTGCACAATCTTCGTATCAGAGCTTGTGAAAGTGGAGAATAAATGCATCAAAAGTAGATAAAAAGAAGAATAATTCATTGGGATTTGATAAAAGTTAGATTTTTTTATTAGTATATGTGTGGAATGGGTAAAAATAAACTACATGACAGATGCAGTAAAATACGTACATGACAAAACAGAGACCCAAATCTGACGTGACAAAATGGTGTTATTTTTTTCAGGCGATCGAACTACCAAGCAGCCAGGAACGCGCTGGAGCTGGACCTGGTAGGCGACCCGACCTGGTGTCCACCAACGCCGTGGTCTCCTTCAAGACGGCCATCTGGTTCTGGATGACGGGGCAGTACAACAAGCCGTCGAGCCACGACGTCATCCTCGGCCGGTGGACGCCGTCGGCGGCGGACACCGCCGCCGGCCGCGTCCCGGGGTACGGCGTCATCACCAACATCATCAACGGCCGCTTCGAGTGCGACGTCGGCCAGAACGACGCCAACGTCGACCGCATCGGCTACTACAAGCGCTACTGCGACATGCTCGGCGCAGACCCCGGCAGCAACCTCGACTGCTACAACCAGCGCGACTTCGATAGCCAGCCTAGTTGAATGATCGATCGGATTGTTATCATATTGCCCGATCATTTGATCAGTTATTAACTTACTACTACCAATAAGAACTAGCTAGCATATGATGTATTCCGACATGAATAAGGCTGTGTTTGGGAGTGCTCCTGGCACGCAAAATAAAGCAGCGTTTGGCGCATGATTAATTAAGTATTAGTAAAAATAAATTTGAAAAATAAATTAATATGATTTTTAAAGTAAATTTTATATAGAAATTTTTTAAAAAAAACACACCGTTTATTAGTTTGAAAAGCGTGCACGCGGAAAACAAATGTGGTGAGTTGTGAAAGTAGAGATAAGAGCAAGTTTAATAGTATAGTCAACTAGTGGCTTCAAATCATTTATAGTCAATTTAGTAGCCAATTCATACAATAATTACCTATAAATATATACTTTCTCCGTTTCATATTATATAAAACTTTCTAGCATTATCCACATTCATATATATGTTAATGAATCTAGACATATATATATATATGTGTGTTTAGATTCATTAATATTTATATGAATATGAATAATGTTAGAAAATTTTATAATATGAAACGGATGGAGTACTACATAATTCATACTTGGTCCCACCTGTTATATACAAATATATAGCCCGCTGTTTTTTCCTTTTCTTTTTTATCTTTTCGAAATGTGTTTATAATTGGCATATAGTCTGATAGTGTACCTGCATCCTCGTCGGTTTGAGCCCATAAGGGCTAACCAGGCCCATATTTAGTTGTGCCTCCATCCTCGTCGGTTGAGCCCATGAAGCCTAACCAGGCCCATATTTAGTTGGGCCTGCATCCTCGTCGGTTCAGCCCATAAGGCGTAACTAGGTCTGTATTTAGTTGGGCCCAGTTTCTGCAGCCCATGGCGCGGAAGAATGGAGCCAGTCAATCTCAATCCTGATGACGTCGAACGGTGCGTTTGCCTAGTGACTAGTGAGCGGCGACACGTCCCAGTGGCCAGTGCGCACACGTTGCAGTCAGTCCGAATTGGACCGTGCCGGCATTGTCATCGCATGCCATTCATCGATCCACATCCACTCGACTTTGTAAACCTCTCGCCGTCCAATATGTTTTTTTTTCTACTCGCACGGGGTGCTGACTCTAGACCGGTAGCTTGTACGTGTACTGTGTCCAGTAGTACAATGTCGGCAGTATGTGACACCAACTTCTGTGTATAAATATCAACTCCCTAAGGAGTTACTTCCCTGTATTAAAATACTGTTTTTCTAGAAACACAGAGGAACTCGCAACATGTAGTACAAACCGCACGACATATTTCAATGAATACATTTTTAAAGATTATCTATCTCCATGAGTATCTTTAAAAGATTAGGTTAGCATATCGCTATCGATGAGTATATTATCTAGCATTGAAAAAATAGCCCTAGATATTGGGGAGCGTATCCTATGCACACAGGACCTCGCGTGTACACACCGTGTACATCAACTAAAAATTATCACAAAAAAATTTAGGAAAATTCATACATGTACTTTCAATAGTATTACATCTACGTGCAAAGTCGCATCTTCAAATTCATTCTACATAGAGAATAACAAAAAAGATAAAATTATGACAAAATTGCAACCTTAAAACTGTCAGATTTTTTTTTTGTTACGGCTAAAATATAATGAATTTGACGTTAAGATTTTAACCCTAGGTGTAATACAATTGAAAGTATGTATATGATTTTTTCTAGATTTTTTGGTGACATTTTTTAGTTGGTGTGCACGTGTGTACACGTGAGTGTCTGTGTGCATAGGATATGTTGCCTAGATATTGATCATCCATCGTCTACCGTTCAAAAATCATATATCAATCTTTTTACACATCTAGAATATGGGACTTTCGATGAAAGTACTAAAAAATACCAGAGAAATGGCCTCGTGGCAAGCTATATCTGTGTACGAGAGTGAGGTTACCAACCCTCACTTCCTAACACGTAAAATGAATATTAGCTATTTTATAAAAAAAGATGTGATTAATTAAATATTAGCTATTTTATAAAAAAAGATCAATATAATTTTTAAAGTAATTTTCGTATATAATTTTTTTCTAAAAACATATTATTATTTAACAGTTTAAAAAACGTGTGCACGAAATACTAGGGAGCGGGGTTGGAGCAAAGAAAACAGCCTCATCCAAAAACGTCTGCTTCGTCGGTGTACTACATGCCATAGATGCGATTTTGTCCTCAAATAGGATCACTTTGTCATTGCCAAAGATTTCATGTGCCTGGACGTCAGAGCAGCAGCTTGCAGAAATAACTGCGAACAAGCCAAGCGCACGCATCGATCGTCGCGCTTGCGCCGCGCGCCATGGCGTCGTCGTTGTCGTTGCTGCTCGCCGGCGTGAAGGCGGCGCTGGTGGTGCTCGCCGGCGTCGCGCTGTACAGCCCCGAGGGGTTCTCGCCGGCGCCGATGCCGCCCGAGTACTCGTACGGCGCCCCCGTGTCGGCGCCGCGGCACGAGCCCCGCGCGCTGGCGGCGAGCGAGCGCGTCGGGGAGGGGCGGCTCCCGGCGCCGGAGGACCTGGCCTACGACGCCGCCGGCGGGTGGCTGTACACCGGCTGCGGCGACGGGTGGGTTCGCAGGGTGAGCGTCTCGTCCGGGGACGTCGAGGACTGGGCGCGCACCGGCGGCCGCCCCCTCGGCGTCGCCCTCACCGCCGACGGCGGCCTTGTCGTCGCCGACGCCGACATCGTCAGTACACTAGACCAAACCATGTTTCCTCTTTCATTGGATTGTTCCATCACTTCTTCCTCAAATTATTGCTTTCTTGCTTCTTGTCCTGATGATACTATCATAGCTAAGAGCAAGTTTAATAGTATATTCTACTACCTACTACTAGCTCTAAATCATGTATAGCCAATGTAATAGTCAATTTATATAATAGTTGCTTACTATACTATTAATACCTGGTCTCACTTATTATACACACATTACGTATTAGAGTCCATGCTGTAATACGTAATAGGCCGTTACTCTTCTCTCTCTTTTTTATCTCTTTAAAATATGTTTATAGCTAGATTATTGCCATCTGATCTAGTAGCAAATCTTGATATCATCACACGGCCACTGTGATTGGTTTTTGACAAAAGAGCACAATCTTTGGTGATAATCTCAGTGAAAAAAAAAGCCAAAATCCTTGGAAGAACATCGTTGTATCATGGAACAATCAAGTCTATATATTGCATTAAATTTTTTGGATGGAAGTTGGGAGATGACATGCTCGTCGCAGGGGTTACTGAAGGTGAGCCCGGACAAGGCGGTGGAGCTGCTGACCGACGAGGCGGAGGGCGTCAAGTTCGCCCTGACCGACGGCGTCGACGTCGCCGGCGACGGCGTCATCTACTTCACCGACGCGTCGCACAAGCACAGCCTCGCGGAGTTCATGGTGGACGTGCTCGAGGCGCGCCCCCACGGGCGGCTGATGAGCTTCGACCCGTCGACGCGGCGGACCACCGTGCTCGCCCGCGGCCTCTACTTCGCCAACGGCGTCGCCGTCTCGCCGGACCAGGACTCCCTCGTCTTCTGCGAGACCGTCATGTAAGCAGATCAAACGCCATTGACACGTCGATGTGACAGAAAAACGCCATTGCTGACGACGACAACGCCATTGCAGGAGGAGGTGCTCGAGATACCACATCAACGGCGACAAGGCCGGCACCGTCGACAAGTTCATCGGCGACCTGCCGGGCTTCCCTGACAACATCCGCTACGACGGCGAGGGCCGCTACTGGATCGCCATCTCCGCCGTAACCATATCTGACGACACATCGATCTCTGTTTGTTAATTCGCCATCGCATTTAGCAGTAATCTTCGCCATGGAAATTGCTCCGAATTGCTGCAGGGGAGGACGCTGCAGTGGGACGTGCTGACGAGGTCGCCGTTCGTGAGGAAGCTGGTGTACATGGTGGACAGGTTCGTCGTGGCGGTGCCCCACAACCTGAAGAACGCCGGCGCCATGAGCGTGACGCTCGCCGGAGAGCCCGTGTCGATGTACAGCGACCCGGGACTCGCCCTCACCACCGGCTGGCTCAAGGTCGGCGACTACCTCTACTACGGCTCGCTGACCAAACCGTACCTCAGCAGGATCGACCTCGCCAAATCGCCAGCTGAGAAGGCTCAGGAGTGAGAGAGACCGTGCATCCTTGGTCGCTTTGTTCTCTGACTTCTGCTGGTGATTTGTCATTTGTGCCTTACCCCTCCGTTCCAAGAAAATGACATCGACAAACACTCCAATATAAGAAATATCCAACTTTCTTAAAATATCATTATACAAGCGTTTTTTCTCAATAATGCCATCGTCGTTAGATTTTTGTCAGTAGCCCTCCGTTAATTACTAACGTAAGAGCAAGTTTAATAGTATAGCTCACTACCAGCTCCAAATCATCTATAGCCGATGTAATAGCTAATTCATATAATAGTTGCTTGCTATACTATTAATATCTGGTCCCACCTATCATACACATATTGTGTCTTGGAACCCGTGCTGCAGCTGGCTATAGATCTGTAGTCCGCTGCTCTTCTCTCTCTTCCTTTATCTCTTTAAAATATGTTTATAGCTGGCTTATAATAGTACCTGCTCTAAGAGAAGCTATTTTTCTTAGCCAGCACAAAATCAAAACCTGAATAAGAGAGATGAGCAGTCTCGGGAACGCAAGCAATTGAACCACCCTTGTGAATTGTGCCTTTGTAATTTTTTTTTTGAACATTGTGCCTTTGTAATGGACTTGTTTTGTGTCCAGAACTCGAGTTTGTGTCAGTTTACTATTTAACTTAATTGCAATTGGGCCTGTATATTACATAGATGGAATAATTCCATTTTGACTCCCTTAAAAGTGACTCGAATCTAATCTATGACTATAAACCACAAAATCGGGTATCTCGACCCGCCGAACTATTGAAACTGGTGCAATTTGACTCCCTCGGTGGTTTTGGAGGATGGTTTCGCTTACGTGGCGCTGATGTGGCGGTGTTGACCTAGTCTGTGGGGTTGACGTGGCGCTTAGATGGCATTTGAATTAAAAACATATACGTGGGACCCGGTTGTCATTCACACACATAAAAATTGTGGCGCCCACTGACGTGTGGGCCCCACATGTCATCCTCTCTCTCTTTCTTCTTCCTCTCCTCTTCCTCCCTTCTCTCCTCTTTGGCCGGGCGCGGGGACCACGGGCTGGAGTGGCGGCGGGCGGGGACTAGAGCAGCGGCGGCGGCGGTGGCGGAAGCGGCAGCGGCGGCCCCCGCTTCAACTTCATGTCGGTGGGAGTCTCGCAGCAACGCTTGAGCAACTCGCAGTCCACCTCCGTCTGCAGCTTCGTCCTCGCCCTTCTGTTCAGCTATTCTGGAACTACACCTCCACCTGCCGCGGCTTCAGATTCAGCTGCCTCGCCAGCGCCGCCTTCTGCTTCTGAATCCAACAAGAACAAGATCGCATATGTCAATCAGATTGTTCTTGATCGATTTCTTGGTGATTGGTACAGTAATTGTTAGAATATATGGTAGTTAGAGTTATATTAGGATATGACTCTGTAATCCTTCTGACTCTGTAATCCTTCCATATCTGTAATCCTTCTTTATCTCCTCCCCATGTACTCCTATATATACCGGCTCCCTGAGGCTCAATACAAGTGTCTAATATTCGTAGTATTCCTCTTCCTATACTATCCAACAGTAATTAATTTGATTGCTTGTTTGCTTGCTTACGGGGTTGAGGGTGTTGTGCTTGTTGAAGGTGTCCTCGAGGACGGCGGCTTGGTCCTTGGAGAGGCGGAGCTTCTTGCGGGATCCGTCGTCGGAGTCCTCGTCGTCGCTGCCGCCGACGGCGGCGGCAGCGGCAGATGGCGCACCACGCTTGCCGCTGAGGCTGGAGAGCGTGCTATTGGGGGAGGACACGACGGGCAGCAGCCGGACGGTCCAGCCCACTGCCGCCGCCGGCGCCGCTTCAGCTCCCTCCGCCTCTCTTGTCCCCGCCCACTACCGCCCCAGCCCGTGCTCCCTGCGGCTAGCCGAAGGGGAGAGAAGAGAGAAAGAAAGAGAGGAGGAAGAAGAAAGAGAGAGGATGACATGTGGGGCCCACATGTTAGTGGACCCCACAATTTTTATTTGTGTCAATGACAACTGGGTCCCACGTATATGTTTTTAATTCAAATGCCACCTAAGCGCTACATCAAACCCACAGACTCGGTCAACGCCGCCACGTCAGCGCCACATCAGCGAAACCGCCCTCCAAAACCACCAAGGGAGTCAAATTGCACCGGTTTCAATAGTTCAGGGGTCGAGATATCCGATTTTGCGGTTTAGGGTTATGAATTAGATTCGGGTAACTTTTAAGAGAGTCAAAGTGGACTTATTCCTACGTAGATCGAGGAAGTGATATGCCCTAATTTTAAGCGTGATTTACTTAGTGGACATTGGACAATGGGACGGCCTGCACGCCCGGTGCCAAGGCAATCTGACAGTTTGCTTGTTTGGCCGCCTCGCTGAACAAACCGGCCTATTTATCGGAATCCCTAGTGGGCCGGCCCATTTCATCTCGCCGAGCCCGCGTTAGGCTATTGCACCGCTTCTGTCAGCCGCCGCGGCGGCGCCTCCGCTTCCCGCCAAATCCGCGGCGCTCTCGTCGTCGTCGTCGCATCTCATGGCGACCAGCCGGAAACCCTACGACGCGATGGCTCCACACGTCGCCGCTCCCAATCGGCCGATGGATCAGCCGGAGAGCGCCGCCGCGTCCACGTCGGAGGAATCCGAGTCCGCCTCCGCCTCGCATCGGGCAATCTGGTTGGATTCCGTTTCCATATCAGTGAGGATTCCGATTCCGCCGCGTGTCGCCACCGCCGCCGCCGCAACCGGTTTCCTTGCTAAGCCGCCGCCTCCGCTGGCGCCGCTGGTGATGTCCTCTTCCTCCTCCTCGTCGTCGCAGGGTGGCGGCCGCCGGCGCCCGATGTCCCGGGCGCTGATCGAGCAGCACCGGCCGTGGGACGTGGTGGACAACATGGCCCTCATCATCATCGACCAGACGTACGCCGCCGCGCTCGGGATCCCCGGGCGGAGGGAGATGGGTGACGGGTCGGTGGAGGTCAGCAGCGCCGTCGACGCCGACGACCCGGACTCGCCGGTGCTCACCATCAACGCCAGCGCCACGCGCTGCTGCGTCGCCTTCGACACCCCGCGCCGCGACGCCGTGCCGTACAAGAAGTTCACCTCCCCGAAGCGGAAGACGCGGCCCGACCACCGCCTCGCCCGCACCATCGTCTCTGTCTCGCCGGCGACGCTCTACCTGAGCCACCGCTCCGACTGCGTCGGCGGCGACAGCGACAGCAAGGACTACTGGTCGTGCGCCGAGGTGGCCCCCGACGTGGCCGCCGGCGGCGCGCTCGCGATCCTGGACACGATCATGCTGCGGCTGGAGGCGGCGATCCATCTGGAGGAGAACATCCTCGTCAACGCCATGGAGTTCAACTGCGGCACGAGCTCCGTCCTCGAGGTGGTGGCCGAGACGCGCAACGCGCTGGAAGAGATGAGGCGAGAGATGGACCTCCCGGAAATGATGCAGAGGAGGCTGCACAAGCGCCGCCACGTCGTCGTCGGCGACGCCGCCGCGGCGGATCACGACGACGAGTCGGCGGAGAAGGTGTTCAAGAAGTTCAGAACAATGCGCTGCCGCTGAATCCGTAGACTGACTTGGGCGCCGGTGATGCAGAGAGAGGCGCGTGTGCTCTCGCACGCACGCACCAGTGACGCTGCAAACCCGAGCCAAAGCAGATCATTTGATAGATAGATTAGATTCTGAAGCCCTGTCACATTTTCAGGGGAACAGTTTGCAATTCAGGTGTTTTTTGAGATTGATTCAGATGATAATTACTGTACATACATTCCTAGAAGTTCCATTGATTCCTTATATTTTTTTTCAACATCTGGTTGATCTTTGGAGTATCTTTGGGATGATATTCCAAACTGAATTGCTGGTAAAGTGGTAATGTTGGTTGATCTTCTTTTATCAGCATTCCTAATACCCACTCTACTCAAGCTATGTACTTGATGTTACTTGTAGTATAGATGTTACCGAATGTTAATACGGTCTGTAATAAAATCCTAATACAGTAATTCCTATGATAATAACATGCCTGGGCAACTGACAAAGTGACAAGGGAGACTGGGTACACAGAGCAACAGGATGAGGATCACAATAACACTGATATCTAAATGCAGATTAAAAAAATGAGTCCAAAGGGTACATTATTTTCTGAGCTAAATGCTACAAATATATCCTATAAATTTTTTATATGTTTAGACATATATCATAGTTACCTGATGATTATAGTAAGTTAGTTCATCTAAGCTGGGGATTTTGTATTTTAGTGTTATGTGTTTTTACATATTTTGGAACGTGTGTGCTTTTTACATATAATGAAGGTAATAATAACCACAAAAATCCTAAGCAGCACAAGCTGAGAAGGGAAACCCCACTAGTAGAGCTCATCCATATGGAAAAGGAACTAGAAATGCTTTAAACAATCCTTCAGAAGCTTGATTAAGCTATATCTAAATTAAGCTGAAAATCAACAGAATAATGAAATTGTCTAAACTGATAGTAGTAACCATGCCCCCAATATGAAACAGTTAAACAACTTCTGCAGGATTTATTACTTGCAATGCTGAAACATACAGCATGCAGAAAACACTCTAAAATTTACTGGGACATGATCAGCATCGTGGGGAAAATGCAAATTTTACAGTTATCGGTAACAAAAATTTGCCACGCTTACGCTCTGGCTACGATTCTGAAAGCTACTACCCGTAAACACTATGACCCAATTCGTTGATTTAAACAGAAATTCATGGAATGAAACTGATCAGAAATTCAACATGTGAACCTTCAGATGATATTTAGGAAATTTCAGATTCAACAAACTTGATCCTCTTTCCCTCTATCTGAGAAAAACATGATAGTTTCAGAGTTATATTAAAAAGCAGATCATATCTGTTTCAGGATCGAAACGGTTAAAAGAAGAAATCATACCGGATACGACGGCTACAGAAAGATAAACCAAAGTTTTATTACGATCCCGAATTCCGATAGGATCATGGTTAAGTGGCTCACAGCCATGCTATTTTACTGCTGCATGATTACCTCATCACCTAGTCTTGGGGCTTGGGGGAACCTCGCCGGAGACGGAGTGCAACACGCCGGCGGCGGCGGAAGGGGTGGTAGAATCCGCCGGCGAGTCTAGGGGAGAGCGAACCATGGCCCAAAATACACGGCCCACGGCCCATATCGCAGCAGCCAAATGACGTGCAGCCCACTCTAATCTGGGCCTCCCTCCATAATGTGAGGCCCAACGCAAGTTTTGCCCTCTAAACTGAATACACACACAAATTTACAGACCAGTGTTCAAATATCAAAATGAAAGAAAGAAATCGGGGAGGAGCTTGAAAACTGCACGACAAATCATCTCAAAACGAAGGAATTTGATGAGGAATCACGTATAAATATCACGACAAAGGGGCAAGCATTTTATTGAACTTGTTACAAGACTGACAGTTATATAATATAATAATGTGACCACTCGGAATTCACCAACAGCAGCAGGATATATATGGCGCGAACACGAACGTACGTGTCCGGTTATTGACGACGACGACGACGACATTGGAAAATGTGTACGCAGCACGAATCATAAAGCAAAGCGACCCCCTTCTCCTCCTCCTCCTCCTCTCGCCGGCCGCCGCCGCCGCCGCCGGCGGCCGGAAGAGCACGGTGGCTGACCTCATCATCAGAAGGGAGCCTCGGCGGAGGGCGGGCGGTTGAGGCTCTTGACCTGCTTCCACGACTCGCGGCCGGAGACGTCGGCCCACCACCGGCTGACGTTGCGGCGGGACTGCAGCATCCGGAGCGTGCGCGGGTCGGCGGCGAGGCGGTCGGCGTTGGGGAGGTGCGAAAGGTCGGCGAGGGTGAACTTGTCGCCGGCGAGGTACTCCGCCTCCTCCAGCCGCTGCTCGTAGATGTCCAGCACCTTGCTCAGCTCCTTGCTGCTCTTCTCGAACAGCTGCTTCATCTCCTCCACCTTCTGCCGGTGCGCCGCCGCCATCTGGCCATCCCTTCCTCCTCCGGCGCCGGCGCCGCCCTGCCTCTGGCTGCTGTACTGCCGGTCACGGCCGCCGTCGTCGTTCTTCTCCTCCTCGCAGCGGCCACCGTCGGCGGCGGCGGCGCCCTTGTTAGGCTGCGTCGTCGCCGCCGGCAGGTAGGCGAGGCTGTAGACCACGTCGGCGCTGGGCACGTCGAAGCTCTGCGCCTCCGTCTGCAGCCACTGCTCGATCGACGACCTCTCCAACGCCCCCATCCCGATCAGGTCCGGGTTCCCCTGGTTCTTGTACTTGTCCGCAATGTGCCTTATGATCTTCCTCGACTCTGCTCATTAACTCAGCATCAACATATTAATCTTACCATGAAAATTTATTCACGTTTGATTAATTCTTTGCTTACCGACGAGCGTCACATTGCCGTCCTCGAAGGTGAGAGCCTCGCCGTGAGGCTACACCATTACATTTGATTGTGTTAATCCATGAAGATGATGAGAGATTATTTCGTTCATCATGATGATGATTAGTTAATTAACATTTTCTAGTGTAAAATTTGGTACCTCTAGATACTAAATACAAGTATAAAAAATTTTAGTGTAAAATTTAGATATCTCAAAATACTTTCTCAATAACGGTAAAATTTCTCTAATTAATTACCTGGAGTTTGAGATACTGGGGCATGCGTTTGGACCCGCGAAAGGAGTCGACGCGGATGAGCTGGAACTCGACGTCCTTCTCGAACAGGCAAGCCAGCACGCGGGCCACCTCGGCCGACGACGGCGACCCGAACACCTTCACGGCTCCCGGCATCTTTCCGGTCGGCGGCGGCGGCAACGGCGGCGAGGAATCGAAGTGTTGCTTAACTGATTAATCTGCAGGTGAGATTTGACAGTTGTGAGTGTGTGTGTGTGCAGACATTTGGCTGTCCAGGTGGGTATATATACTGAACACCAAAGCTGAAAACTAATATCAGGGCCAGCATCTGGCAATGCCTTGCTTCTCATCTGGTTCTTGATGAAAAAAAGCAAAAGGAGAAAAAAAAATTGGTAAAGAGGTAAAGCATCCAAAGCGCTGGTGACTAAATGCTTATGATGTCTTGCGTATCATAGCCTCCACGAGGAATCGAATCACCAGGGAGGTTTAGTAAGCAAAAAATTTAACTAAGAAGGTTCCAATTCAGCTGCTTTTCAGTGAGCAGCACCGTGATCTCAAGAGATCTGAACATTTTCTTATCAGCAAAGGTAGATGAGATACATCTGCTGTGTACAAGTATATGCAAGTTTACACGCTGGCAATTAATTATCTCTGTTTGAGATAACACGTGTGATTAAATATGTTAATGCGGATGAATTGTGCCTTGCCACTTCCATCCATGGAGATCTTAGAGATACCTAAGCTACTGTCAATATAGTATTTGTGTTCTTCCCGTATTGGAAGCTCCGAACTGAATATATGCTTTTCCTCACCTTTGCTCATGCTAATGCATGCAGGTAGGCAGGCAGCTTTTGGCATCAGAGATGCAGTACGTTGAAAGGTAAAGCATCACGTTCGTTTCACTGTTTTCTCGCAGCTGGCTGCTGAACAGATCTTAATCAATTCGCCGTTAATGTCAGGATTGTTCAGAAAAGCGAACACAGGTTGCAGTGTGCAGAGTTGCAAAGGATTTGAGTTGGAGAATCTGCTGGGCCATGGGCTTCATTGCTAATCCTGGGCTTGTATCAGCAAGGCCCATCACAAGGCCCAGCTTGGTTTGAGACCGGCCATCAAGAATTCAAGATGAAGCCTACGTTGCTCTACTTGTATTATTACTCCTGTAACTGGTGGTAAATTTTGTAGGTCAAAGTTACTGAAAAGATGGGCTATTGTCTTGTCACTTGTTACCTCAGGATTTATGGTACTTTATCTATCTCAAAATAAGTTCAAGTCCAACGTTTGACCGTTCGTCTTATTTGAAATTCTTTTATGATTAGTATTTTTATTATTATTAGATGATAAAACATGAATAGTACTTTATGTGCGACTAATTATTTTTAATTATTTCTCATATTTTTTTTAAATAAGATGAACAGTTAAACGTTTGACACGGATACCCACGGCTACACTAATTTTGGGACAAAAGTAGTAGTATATGGTTTCTTAAAGGGTCCCACTTCTATTTGAATCTCAGTCAATTTCACTACCTTTTACAATATTGTCCTTAAAAACTAGTAGTCCCTTCGTTAAGTGCAGTTGTGGGTTTATTTGTCCAACGTTGATCTTCCGTTTTATTTGAAAAAATATTAAAAAATTATAGAAAATAAGTCAGGTATAAAACATTATTCATGTTTTAGCATCTAATAATAATATATTAATCATAAAAAAATTTAAATAAGATGGACGGTACACAGAGACCCACAGCTACACTCAAAATGAGATGGATGGAGTACTATTTTAATAAAGTTAACAGCAAAGTGAAAAAAAATGCACTTTGATTTTAGAGTAAAACACATAACGGTCCTTAACTTGAACTAGGGTGTCGTCTAGCTATGTAAAATGCTTATCTTCATATCTAATCCTAGTTTAATGTATGATCCAAGATACAGAGTGCAGATGGTGCAGCTCGGATGCTTACGTCCACAACAATTATGATGAGAATTTTGCATTATGCCGCTCGTGCAACAGTATACTTTCAAGTTGACTCTCATATCCCACCACTCCCAAATCTTTTTGGTGCATGACTTAAATTATAAATTTCAGAAATGCATTTTTTTATTTGGAGATGGTAAAAGTCAATTTTGGGACACTGTAGCAAAAGGGGCTATGTGTAAATTTTTTATCAGCGTGGATAACCATGTCAGCGTTTGAGCTGCGTCATTAGTACTTTGGATCTCGTGTGATGTTGGAACAAATTTTAACAAGCAAGGCCAAGGGCTCCCCTTCATTGCATGGAACCCAAGCTTGAACACAAGGGGGGAAGAAGGGGGAAAAAGATGAGAGGATGGACTGGGAGAAGCATCCCCCTCTTTTGCCCCTAGGGGCATTCTAGCCCTCTATCACATTAGTTAACCCAACACTTCTCCCTAACAAGTGATTCATTAAACCATAATTAGAAATCCATACGTACATTTTATAAGTTCATAGATCTAGATGACATCACAACAGAGCCGACGCGAATTGAGAACCTTCGAGTTTTTCCTTTTAAAAAATGATTAATTAGATCTATGTCATTATGATTTTCACGGTTATAAAATACACCATTACTATTTACCTATTTACATCTAAGCAATTATAATTTTCCAATTATTTGATATTTGCTTGTCACTACTTATCCTTTGATAAAATTTACCGAAAAGAGTTACAGTCGGAAAACCGTTTAAAAAAACCAAACAGTAACTCTTTTAGGGGAAATTTATCCGAATTTCACCGAGTTTCTGGTAATCGAGTGGTTGGTGAAAAAGCCCTAGCAGGGGGTGTTTGGATCTAGGGACTAAACTTTAGTCCATGTCACATCGGATGTTTAGACACTAATTTGGAGTATTAAACATAGACTACTTACAAAACTAACCACATAAATGAGAGCTAATTCGCGTGATAATTTTTTTAAGCATAATTAATTCATAATTAGCACATGCTTACTGTAGCATCACATAGGCTAATCATGGATTAATTAGACTCAGTAGATTCGTCTCGCGAATTAGTTCAGGGTGATGGAATGGGTTATGTCAATAGTCTACGTTTAATAATTATAATTAGTGTCTGAACATCCGATGTACAAGGAAATTTTTAGTCCCTTCCAAACCCGCCTGAGAGAGGTAAGGAATGGCAAGGATGGGAGGGGACGACGCGGGAGAGAGGAGAGAAGAGGAGAAGAGAAGGAGCGCTGGGCTGCCCTCTCTCCCTCTCGTGGCAGCTGGCTCCAGGATTTGTGGTCATTCTCCACCTCCAATACCTGTTTACCTGAGCACCTCCGCATCGGCTTCGACTCCTTGATACTCCTGATCTCTTGCAGCTGCGGAAGGAACGAAACTCCAGGGTTTTCTACTTTGCACTCGCTTCAGTCCCAGTGGTTCTGGAGTCCATCCGCTTGGAGGGTCAGCTGTAGTCTTTAGCAGGCGTTGTTTTTTTTGGGGATTTCTTTGAAGTATAGCGTAGCTCTGCCCCCTCCCGCTGTTTGGTGTTGCGTTTTAACCGTCGTAGTAGTTCCTAGCTTTAGGTTTTTTATTTTGCCTTTTCTCCTCCTTTCCGGGCATAAGCCAGTCTGGCTGATTACGTTGTGCAACAAAAATAACTCTTTTCCTGCTAATATATTTACGTGTAATCCTTTTGCGCCTTGGCGAAAAAGAGAAGGAGCGCATTTAAGCAGCACTCGCCGGACGGCCGGAGTGGATGGGCGCGCAATAAGTTGGGTGCGGCAAGGACTGAGATTCCCTCGCATTTACGCCTCGTCCTCCTCCCCGCATCGCTCCGCAGATCAGAGCTCTGCAGAAGAGCTAGCATGCATCGGCGGCCAGACGCCGGCCGGACTCCAGTAATCAACGCCCTGTCTTGTCTCTTTTGTCCCGCCGCCCCGGCCGATCACCGTACCTAACTATACCATACTCCGGCTAACCTTAGCTTCGTCTGATTATCATCGTTGCTTGCGAATTGTAACAATAATGCTGTACTGAACTACTCATGCTGATGGATTATTTGGTAGAGTTAGAAAAGAAAAATCAAAATAGTAAAGAGGAGAAGAGTTTATGCTGGCTTTTATTTTCTGGTCGATCTGATGCACGCATTATGCCTTTAATCGATCTCTGCACCTACATATGTGCACCAATCATCTGTGTATGTGTGTGTGTAAGAGAGGGGTGTTTAGTTTCTATTAATGCTGCAGCCTGTCTTGCTCATTTGGCAGGCAGACTTGAATGCCCACCAACACAAGGAATCACGTAGCAGAGAGCGAGTCCATATAAGATGGTTGCAGGCGAGGTCTCCTCATTCAGATCACTCATTCACACTAACCCTAGCTAGCAACCTGCAACCTGCATAGTATATTGCATTGCGCCCAAGCTTTCTTCTTCTTCTTCTTCTTCCCTCGCCGACAACCTCCTCCGTTTGCCCGGCCATTGTTCTTCAGAGCTTGGTCGCGATAGAAAGAAATGAAATTGTAGCTATGATGTTGGCCCGGCTCACTCAGATGGATCATCGGTGCAGAAGAGTGCATGAATCTGATGCAGTCTCAGTGTAGTATGCTCCATGCTGGAACTTCTGATTGAGCCGTGCCAATATCTCAGCACCATTTTTATGCAATCATGCGTACAGATCACTCCCAAAGTCTCAATTTACCATCACTAATCTGCGGCTATATATATGGCGCTCGTCGGCTGGTAATAGCATGATTAGTTAATTCTTGCAGCTCACTATCATTATATATATTCTTGCATATGTATGTATATATGCATATTTGAATGCCGTTGTGATCCCATACAAATATATATGCCCTGGATCTTCTTGTTGCATGTTCTATCCTACATCTCTTAGCCAAGTTTTTTTTTTTGAAATAATTGCTTTCAAAAGCACCAAGAGCCCGATCTAGTAGTACACACATCCACATTGGAAGTAAGATTTCGTTTGTTTTCATGTGTAGGGTATGGATCATGTAATGTAATGCAAATATGCAATATATGCGGATTAACTTTTTTGATCATTTCATGCCTACAAATTTGCAGTGTAGTAGATGTGCTTTACTTTGTCGGTGTTTTGTCTAACTAGTTTCCTCCAGTAGTATTGCTGTCCAAATGGGCCATTCGACCTATTTCAGGGGAACTGATGAAGAATTCTTCGATCGGATTTAAGGCGTCGCAGACTTGCAGTTACATGCATCTTCCTGACGTTTCCATTCTGGGACATGGAAATCATCGTAGGGAGCAGCAAGCAAATATATAAAGCAGTTGATTTGTGCAACAAACTGTAGTTAGTTGTGTTTATCTGAAATCTACATATTCATATGTTATGTTTCAAATTTTTTTGGTGAACAAAATGTAAATTTATCGTTGTTTGTCCTCTCTATGTAATTTTCTACTCTTTCTGTTTTCAAATGGAAAATTATTTTATTTATCCCTGTACATGTACTCTGATTTGTGTACTGGACTCCCTCTCCTTTTGAATGGAACTAAAGGATTTCAGGAGGGGAAACTCTCACCAGGAAAATGTCCAAAAAAGTAATGATCAATAGAACTCTTTCGGTTCTCAGAGCACAGAGATGTTATATATATACAGCTGTTGTCAGTGTGAGCATGCGTTTCTACTTTTTACTCATGTTTTTGGCCGTAGCAATCGATTTATAGCTGTGTTGACAAATATGCAGTTCCTGTTGCCAGATGCCAAAATTTCTGTAGCAACTCATTTCGTGTTTAACAGTCGTCGTTGCAATACTTCTATAAGCACAACACTCATAAAAAAGAAAAAAAAATTGTACAAGTTATAGGTAACCTATTTATGCAAGCGCTGAACAAACTGCTCGTGGCTCAAGACCGGTAGAAATCGATAATTTGGACAAGCGGATTCCATCCTCCATCCGTAAAAGTTGATTTTCACGGACGGTTCTCTTAAAGAAACACCCGTGAAAATGAATTATCCAAATTTTGATTTCTATAGCCAACCCGTGAAAATCAGTTTTTAGTATGCAAAGTTGTAAAAATCAAAGGTTCAGATTACTAGCTTGGCTCTAAAAAAAATTCTAAGCACATATAGTAGTCTTTCTCAGTACTCCCTCCGTAAAAAAAAATCAACCTAAAAGAAAATATGACCCATTGAGTTTTTTTTGGGACGGAGGGAGTACTAAGGGGGTGTTTAGTTCGCACACAAAAATTTTACACCCTATCACATCAAACGTTTGAACATCTGTATGAAGTATTAAATGCAGGCTAAAAAATAATTAATTGTACATATTACGACTAATTTGCGAGGCGAATCTGTTGAGCCTAATTGCTCCATGATTTGACAATGTGGTGCTACAGTAAATATTTCATAATGATGGATTAATTAGGCTTAATAAATTCGTCTCGCAGTTTATAGGCAGATTCTGTAATTTTTTTGGTTATTAGATTACGTTTAATACTTAAAATGTGTGTCGTATATCTGATGTGACACAACAAAAATTTTCACCCCTGGAACTAACACAGCCTAACTAATTTGACACTACTATGATTAATGATTTATGTACATGTTTTTGAACGTCAATTTTTATTTTTTTTTTGTTTGCATACTTTGGAGAAACATGTGCATGTGCCAATGCTTCACCTCTCTGACCCATTTATAGGGGTGTCATCATGACATGTATATATCCCCATGTAATCATGTATATTAATTCCACAGTGCTGGATTACTGATCATTGCAGCTTCCAACTTCCATAACTGTAAATGCAAATACAGACATTTATACACATAGTGATGTCTCCATGCTTTACTTCATTTCATACCCCCCTCATAATTTCAAATCAAGAAAGTTGGAATCAGTTCATGATCTCCAATGCTCATGTGTCTTGTTGGCTCAAGCTAACCACCATGAGATCTCAGTTTGGATACAGTTTCAGACAAAACATCTCACTGCTGAAACTTGCAGCAGAATTTCACAATGAGATTTTTCCTTTTTCATGTCAGGGAAGATGAATGGATGACGAGTGAAGAAGAACAAAACCAGAGCAGAAGGGTAGTACTACAAGTAGTAAAAGTTTCTGGAGGGTGGTTGGGGATTGCAAAGGAGAAGTAACTACTAGGGGTGAAGTAATGGCACGGCACGGGCAAGCATGCATAAATGAGATGCAGGCCAAAGGCATCAAGGAAAGGGACGACAGCAAGGAGAGAATATGGGGGCAATGCCAATGCATGGCCACCACCACCTTGCATTGCCATTGCATCAGATCAGAAAGAGAGAAAGAGCTTTGCATTTAACACAATAAGCACATAGCAGTAGATGGATGGATCATGGCGACCCCCTCCCCTTTTACAGATGGTCAGACAAAGATTCTCCCAGCATTCACTCCTCCAGCCCTAGCTGCAGCCTGCCTGCCTCCTGCAGCTTAGCTCTGCTCGTCTACTATCTCATCATCAGTGGTCACCCTCCTCCTCCATTAGCACTATCACCTTCCTCTCGAAAAAGATGAACTCACAAGAAAAAGTTCAGATGATTCAATCAGGGGCCTTCCAGGTTGAAGAAGAAGTTCTTATCTGAAATGGATCAAGAAAGAAGTTCAGAATTTTCAGACAGATAGGGATAACCTACAATTGTGGATGCAAAGAGAACAGATGCAGTATATGATGGACCAGGGTAGGTAAGTTGGTTGTTGCAATGGTGATTATGATATGGACATTGGTTGCTTAGAAGATCTGAGCAAAAGGAATTTAAATTGATGCGAGTGTGGTTGTGCCCAGGAAGTTGGCCGGAGGTGGTGTCCGGAGTCCACTGCAGGGACCAGCTGATGCATGCTTGCAAAGATCCAAGATGTTTTTTTTTTCGTATGCCAAATCGGCAGTCTCTCTGCCCCCTCTGATAGACATGAATACCTGACGATGAACATGCTATTGCAAGCTTTCAGATGAAGACTGTATTTTCTACTAGACTCATCAGTCTTACCAAAAAGGTATACTAGTATTAATTGTGGTGTTTTTGTATGTGCAGCTAAACTTCAGAGGCCCCCGGTCGCTCCGCCCAGGGGCGACGCGGGCGGCGAGCCGCCCCCTCCCTCCCCTGCTCTCCCCAGCATCGTCGCCGCCCGAGCAGCCGCCGGCAAAGCCGGGTGGAAGCAAGGAAGGCGGCGGCGGGGCTTTCCATCTCCCTCGCTCGTGGTCAAGGCGGCTGGGGCGCCGACGAGACCGGACGACGGGAGTGAGGCGAGGGCGACAGCGTCCAGTTCCGGCGCTACCGAGCATGGATCCGGCCCTCTCTTGGCCGGATCTGGTGCTCCCACCGGCGGGAGTCGTGGGGGACGGCAGGATCCGCCGCCATCCCGCCCGGAAGCGACGACGCCACGGCCTGCAAAGGAGAGGTGGGGGCTGGCGCGCCCTCGCCAGTGCGGAGACGACAGCCGTGGCGGGAGGCCGGTGACAGTGTGCGATGCCATCGTCGGGACGGTCGGTGACGACGGCAAGGCAGAGCGGCGCAGGGCTTGGCGGCGACGGCAGCGAAAGCCCCCAGATCCGTGCCAACTCGGCTGGATCTGGACGGCGGCTAGCGGTCACGACTGTGGCGGCGGCAGCAGCTGGCGACGGCGGCGACTGGCGATGGCGACTGGCGACGGCGGCAGCGGTGGTGGCTGGTGATGGCGACTGCCGATGGCGGCGGCGGCAGCGACAGACACGGCGTCAGGGCGGCTCCTAGCACCTTGCTGGTGGACGTTTTGCTGGTGGAGGCCGACTCCTTCCCCTTTACTGGTGGAGGGCAACGGCGCAGCGGCAGGACGTTTTGCTGGTGGAGGCAGACTCCTTCCCCTTGCTGGTGGAGGGCGATGGCGCAGCGACGGTTTGCGGAGGCGGTTGCTGGCGTCGGTGGCAGCGGCGATGGCGGCCGTGACTGTGGAAGCGGTGGCGACATCGGCGGCGGGGAAGGAGTCGGGTGCGAGGCGAGGATGGCAACGGCGAGGTGGCTGGGCGTTCGGCAGCAGCGACTGCGGTGGTGGTGACCGTGTCTGCGGTCACTGAAGGCATGGCGGCCTCGGACGCCTAGCCGAGGGCGTGGGAGACGGCTGCTTCTGGTCTGCGCGGCATCGTTTGGTGGAAGGGTCGGAGACCGGCTTGGCGCAGAGAAGCGCAGCCGATGGCAGCGGAGGCCGGCTCGGCGCGAGAGGCACGGGCGGCGGAGATGGAGGCCGGCTTGGCGCGAGAGGCGCAGCCGATGGAGGGAGGCCGGATTGGCGCGAGAGGCGCGTCCGGTGGAGGAGGTCGGCTTGGCGCAGAGAGGCGCGGCCGGCGGTGGAGGAGGCGACCTAGGTGTGAGGAGGAGCTGCCGGTGGGCGTGGCGGTCTTCGGCGCACGAAGGCTGGCCGGCGGGGGACACCGGTGCAGGGGTCTCACATATCGGCAAAGCTTGTGTGGTGGTGGGAGCATCGGTGCCTCAGACGTGGATTCGCAAGTGGTGAGCGGCGGGTGAAAACTCAGTCCGGCCTTGGTTGGACCGACAACGATGGTTATCCCCCCCCTCTTGAGGGCGTTGTTGTGCTGTCTCACCCCTCAAGGGTGGTTGCCGGACGAAAGCCCAGTCTTGGAAGCCCAGTCTTGGCTCCTTTGAGTCCCGACGGACGGCGGCGCGGTTTTCCGTCGCTTCTCTTCTTGAAGACGTCGTTTTTGGCATTCCCTAAGGGTGTTCTCGTCTGTGTCCCTTTGTTGGTCTAGTGGCGGTCGGTCACGCTTAGCGGCGTCCGGTCCGGTGTTAGCCTTCTCCTAGGCTTGTGTGTTGGCGATGTCAGCGTGTGGGTGGCAGTATAGTTTTTCCTTTTTCCTGGTTACGACCCTCCTGGGTTGTAATCTTGTAATTTTTTTCCTACTCTATCAATAGAACTTCGCACCGTCTTGTGCGAGTCGTTCAAAACAAATTGTGGTGTTTTTGTTTGTTGATCAGAGAGGGCCGATTTATAGAGGTCACTTCACTTGGCATTGTTACTGTTTACTGATTCACTGCTACTTTTCGGTGTTAAAAGTTCAGAGACAAGCTATCAAGCTAGAGACTCAAGACAGAAGATCTCATTGCAGAATTGGCATATGAAAAACTCTGAAGCAAGTGGATCGCCCATTGCATCTCTCACCAAATGCTGCATCCGAGCAATAACTTCTTATACCGATCATTCTTTCGATCATTTCAAAGTCAAGATCATCATTTGTGGTTATCATTAATTTGGGCTGTCTGTCCATGTTTGAGGCAGATAGATTCCGACCACAGTTTCCTCTTCAGAGCCGAATACTGTTGGTGCCGCGAATTTCCCGTGAGCAGCAGAAACAGTAACTAAGGCATGGCTACATGTAACAAATGGCCCAGGAGAGTGTGGTTTTGATTCCTGGATTCCATCCCCAACAGTGAATTAGGTATACTGAGGTAGATAGCCGGCCAAATTAAACATAGGAGAGAACTATACTCTGCAGTAGCCAATCCACCAAGACAATAAGCAGAAAAAGAGAAAAAAAAAAGAACTGGCGGATTCACTCGATTTCAATCCACTCATTAGGCCATCGCTTATGCCTTTTTTTTTTAACGCGCAAAAAAATTATACGTCAATATATCAAAAGAAAAAAAAAATTTGTTACATGACAGACCAGCTTATATCAAGAAAAGGGAGAAAAATATAACCAAAGAAAAGAAAGAGACTACTACGACGGCTAAACACAACTCCAATCAGCTAGGAGGAGGGCAGAGCCATCGCTTGTGCCATGTCAAGTGCAATTTGAACATGTTTGCAAATTTGAGTATATTTACAAGGAGGTAGCAATATATATAGGGCCATTTTCATTTGATGCCAAAATGTGCCCTACTAAATTGTTGGTATTTTAAATAGTAGTTTGGATTTTGAATAGTAGTTTGGTTTGCTACCAAAATATGCCAATAAGACACATAAGTTGCCAAAACATTCACCACTACTAAAATTTGCCTATGGTTTGGCATTGCCAATATTTTGGCATGGTAGCGAACCAAACAAGCCCATATATACCTAGTGGTACTACGTTATACGGTGTGATGTTCCTGTACTTGTACCAGCAGAGGAGCATGGCGACGCACCTGCGGAAGATGTAGAACCTGGACCTCTGCTCCCGCGCCGCCGCCTGCAGCAGCCAACCCCGCCGCCGCCGCCGCCGCTTACCCTCCTCGCCGGCGGCCTCCGGCGGCCGCGACGTCGACGACGAGGCGCTCGCGCACTGCCTCATCAACGATTTCGGCGGAGTAATCAGAGCCCAAACGGAGTCGTCGAGTCGTCGTCGAGGCGGCGACAGTTAACCTCGAGTATACTCGCTGACGAACGGGGCTCACTTGTCAGCCTGATGTTTGGTTCTTGTGACGGTGGGTCGGGCCCATCAGGCCTAGTAAGAAAGAGCCCAGTGTTGCGGTCTTATTAGCATCGGATGGGCTGTCCAGATGTTGGACCGGGCCACCGGCCTTTCAGGTCTACAGTTTCTATACTCCTTTTCATTTTTATTTCTTCAAATGATTTTGCTATTTCACTTGCGACGGATTTTTAAGGCTCCTATTTTTCGATTTTTCGTATGTAGGAGTAGGACCTTGCATCAAGATCCTTGCTACTATAGATCCAACTTGCAGTTACATAGCACTTATACTTACTTTACATAGCTCTTATACTCATCAGTTACAGTCCACCAAACTTAGATTTTTTGCAAATGATTTTATCTCTAGATTTACCATTTTTGACATGTTTGTTATTTTAAAATTGTATTATTTAAAACAGGTTATATCCATTAGTTGAAAATTTTTAAGAATTGCAACTCCAAATCCGTCGAAAGATCAATGGATAATCCCTTTCTTCAAATTGTCAAAACTCAAAGCTGAGGTCATGTGGTCAACACTGTGTAGTCGCATACAGAAATTAATTTGATAATATCCAAGATATAGCGTTCATGCTGATATCCATATATAAATATAATTAAGAGGAATGAGAAAATGATCTCACGAACTGCATCATCAAATACATGGTATGCCACAGACTGCTCAGCTCATCATGCTATACTATATTCTTACTGTTCCAGTGAGATGTGCAGTACTGCAGTGAGAATTGATCGCACGCAAGATGAACTAATAAGGCACCACGACCTAATCGAGAGTGCTGGTAGAACGTAGTTACTACTCATATTTGCTTGCATTGTTTGGATCAAATCGAGGTTGGTCCATTATATAAGACAGCCATCTCCGTAGCCTGCACTCCTGAACAATGTCTGCTTGATCTCTTCAGTATCTCTTGTCATCTCCCTCTTCTTGTCATCCTATCACGCATGAATTCATAAATACATCATCCACACATAATCTAATTTAGCAAACAATATGTAGTTGAAGTGTTCAATTGAAGTACTAAAGCCTAAATCCCAATTGCTACGTGCTTTCTCTGTGTTACTTGTCATTCTAACTTTATCCTAAGCCAAATATTTATATTTCTTACTATCAATTTCTAAAAAATGATATAACTTAGTGTCATAAGACTTACTCCATAAGAAATACATTCATAATATATAATTCACATGTTGTTAAACTATAGAAAATTCTAGAAAACAATGGTAGTTAAAAACATGAATGTTTGGTTTATAATGACAATTATTTGAAACGGATGGAGAAGTTAACTTTAAATTTTAAATCGATCACCTGATAAGGTTTAATTAATCGGATGCATATGGTGTACTACTAAATAATCACCTGTAGGCAGGAGGCCTGCATGGCGAAGTCATCGAAGCAGCTGATGACGCACTGCTCGATCTCCACGCCCAGCGCCTCCAGCGCGGCCAGCGTCGACGGCAGCAGCTCGGGGATCGCCGCGCATGCCATCTCGATCCTCGTGCTTCCGTTCTCCCTCCTCTCCACCTCGAACTGCACTCATCTCATCTCATGCATTGCATCATCATCATCATGAATGCCGCTAGCTAGGTAGTAGCTCTAATGGCGAGGCATATGTATGTACTCCCTCTATTTTAAAATGTTTGACACCGTTGATTTTTTTAAGTACGTGTTTGACCATTCGTCTTATTTAAAAAATTTAAGTAATTATTTATTCTTTTCATATCATTTGATTCATTGTTAAATATACTTTCAGTACACATATAGTTTTATATATTTCATAAATTTTTTTTAATAAGATGAACGGTCAAACATGTGCTAAAAAGTCAATGGTGTTAAACATTTTAAAACAGAGAGAGTACTATGTAGTAATATAACGTACCCTCGTCGAGTTTCTGATAAGCGGCGTCTCTTCGCCGGAGCTCGACGACGGCGGAGGCTTGAGCGTGTTCAGCTTCAGCATGGAGAGATTCTCCGTGGAGGAGGAGGATGAGTCACCGGTGGCGGCCTCGACCTGGAGGTTCTTGATCCGATCCATCAGCTCCTTCACGTAGCCGATGGTGTCGCCGAGAATCGAGGTCCTGTCCATCTGCATGATGATGCGTAACGAACGTTTTGATCTGATTAATCATAATCGGGGAGATTAATCAGAGAGGAGTTAGCGCGATTGATGCATATTCGTGTGAGTAAGTGACCTTGCTGATCCTAGGCACGACGGAGCGGAGCATGGAGAGGCGGTCGTTGAGCCGCTTCCGCCGCCGCCGCTCCGCCATCAGGTTCTTGGACGGCGCGCCTGGTTGCGGCGGCCTGCAGCTTCTTGGGCGGACGCTCGCCGCCGCGCCGCCGCCGCCGCCGAACACGAACATGGGCGCCAGCTCGCCACTATCACCACCGCCTCCAGCGCCACGTCGCGCCTTGCATCTCTCCTCCTCCTCCACCGCCGCCACCGCCACCGCAGACGACGCAGCTTCGCGTCTCGGATCCATGGCGGCCACCATCACCTGAGCGGCGGCGGTGGCACGGACAGCGCCGCCTGATCTCTTGTACGGGTTGCACACTTCACCCAAGCAATCAATTGAATCAAACTCAAAGCTGACCTCGTGCAGAGGCGGACAAGGAGTCGTCGTCGTCAGAGGCACAGGCAGTGGGAACGACGGCGGCGGCGGCGAGGCAAGCGTGTTCCTCGCGTTGCCGCCCCCGACGAGGAGGTCACCGAGCATGACGCCGTCGCCGCACATCGGGCTCATCATCATCGGGTACGCCTGAAGCCACAGATCTTCCGGCGTCGTCGTCGGTGTGCCTCTCCGGAGCGGCGCCATGAGCTCCTCCAGGAGGGACGACGAGCCGTCGTCGTCCATTAGCTCCATGCCAGCTAGCTCCCTAGCTCGACTTCCCACACTTGGATGAAGACGACGATCGAGTAAGCTAGGTAGCTTAGCTCCAAATTGCATGTGACAGTGGATAGGCAAGAATAATCGATGGAATGATGAGCAGTAGTGGGGACTGGGGATTATGGAAGCAACCTGAGAATTATTTATAAACATAGAAGGACCCAGGGAATAATAAATATCATTCCATTCCAATAATTTTAGTTGGGTTATTTCAGGTGTTTTGGTTGGACAATAGAGCTATAGTAATACATGTTCTTCCTAGGACGAAGGGAGTAGTATATATATAGTATCGGCTATATCATAAAACTACAGATTTTAAAGCATGGTTTTATTCCATAACTACAAGTCTACACAAAATTTAAAGCCTCCAGTATGACAGCAGTGTTAGATGAAAGTATATACAATATGTAGTTTTGAAAAAAAAATATATGATAGATATATTTTGTGATAATATACCTTTAACACAAGGTTTTGTGATAATTTTAACCTTAAATGCGTGGTTTTAAATGTGTAGTTCTAAGACACGATGAACTTTACTCAAATGAGAAATAAGATTATGACAAAAACAAAATATGGGGACATTTTTAAAGATGAAAAGCCACCTTCTTCTACATACACGTATTGTTTAATTTTTGAGTGAATTATAATTTGGGTCACAATTTATTACCAAAGTTTTAGATTGGACTATTCTTAAATCAATCTTTTTACATGAGTGAATTTTAATTTGGGCCATATTTTATTGCCTACGTTTTAGTTTGGACCATTCTCTTAAATCAATCCTTTTACATAAGTAAATTGTAATTTTAGCCACATTTTATTGACGTTTTAGTTTCGACCAATCTTAAATTAATCTTTTTACATTAGATTTTGTTGTTTATTCGGTACTACCCGAAACAACATTGTCCCTGCATATCAACAACTCAAGCAAATCAGCTTTGGCACACCCCGAACTCACACATCTAGCTATCTGCAGTCTCTATTTTTGTTACAACGAAGGCTAGACATGGATAGAAAAGAGAGTTAGATGGTCCAAACCGTAAAAATAACTTAATTAATTATCCGGTTCAAAATAAAAGGACATGTTTAAGAGTCATCTTAAAGTATTGAAACTTTATCATAAAAGATAATCCAAAGTGCAATGATCACCCCTAAATCTTTGGATTGTTTTTGGAGATCACAGACGATGGCCATCTTAACGATTTTTACATGACTTTAAGAGTGAAATTAATGAGGTCGAAAGATTTGGTTGCAAGTTGTGACAGGTCACGTATCCGATGTAATCGTTCTTTGTTCCTAGCATGCACATCAACTTCTCGCTAGTGATCGATGTACGTCTTGGTGCATGTATGTAACCGTCCGTGTACAGTTAATTTCTACCTAATCAAGCAGCTGATTTTGTTAATTGTGTGTAGAACATGTGTACACGCACGGTTTACGCGTACGAGATCGATGTGTATTTCGATCTTATTGATCATATGGCAGGAACGGATTGAGCAGACAAGATAAGCACGCGCATCTAAAACGAAAGACAACTAAAATAGATGCACATTTGCACAATCTTTTAAAGTATATAAATTTCTATTTAATTATATTTGTTTTGTTGTGAACTCCCTCCCTTCCAGAATAATGTACGAGGTTTTATTTTATTTCAAGTCAAATTATTTAAATTTGATCAAGTTTCAAGTTTAGATAGAAAATATATCAACTTCTGCAAGACCAAAAAAATACGCAATCAAGACGTATTGCGTGTTTTGAATTTTAGTGAAACTAATTTGGCATTTAATTAAGGAGGTTTGACGTAGAACAAAACTAGAATCTCTTACATTTTAAAACGGAACAAGATTAATTGGTGTGAAGCCACAACAAGCTAATTGGGTATGCATTGCGCGCGTACTTGTCACCTTGACACAAGACGTAAGCAAGTTGCGTTCGGCAGGGCAACTTTTCAACTTATGGTGTGTTTAGTTTACGCTAAAATTGGAAGTTTTATTGAAATTGAAACGACGTGATGGAAAAGTTGAAAGTTTGTGTGTAAGAAAGTTTCGATGTGATAGAAAAATTGAAAGTTTAAAGAAAAAGTTTGGAACTAAACTCGGCCTTGTACTCCTTTATGTTTCACGGCTTCACGCACATATTTCTCGAACTGTTAAATGATGTGTTTTTTATTTTAAAAAAGTTTCTTAGATAAGTTGTTTAAAATATATATATTAATATAGTTTTAATTTTTTAGCTAATACTAAATTAATTACTATATGGTAATGAGTTATTCCGTTTTATGTGCATAGGAAGAAATTCTCAACACTTTACTCACTTTACATTCAATTATTCAAACACAGCTTGCAATCTACATACAAGAGGTCATGATATAGTTTGTCAACAATATCAAGCGAAGTTCAGCGAAAACAACATGCTTTCGGCTGTGTTCGGAATTCCATGTTCCCGACCATCCTTCCTCCTTTTTCGTGCGCACGTTTTTTAAATTGCTAAATGGTGTGTTTTTTTAAAAAAGTTTCTATATGAAAGTTGCTTAAAAACTTTAAATTAATTTTTTTAAAAAAATAGTTAATACTTAATTAATCACGCGCTAATAGATCATTCCGTTTTCTGTGCGGGGAGATGGGTTCCAAACTCCAGACCTCCAGTACCCGAACACACCCACGCAGTCGCAGCCACGCTAGTGCTGCAGATAGTGCAGATAGATGCAGGCAGGGGCAGGCCGCCCGGGCCCATGCATCGCGCGCGGAAGCGATTTCGCAGGGAATAATATATGCTGCAGCTGCACACAGCTGCAGACCTGCAGTATATGCGTGCAGAGACAATGTTTGGATTCACGAAACTTTGTAGCTAGTGACGCCATGTCCAACCAGGGGACCCCCCGGCCGCATAACCGCGACGACGACGATGACCGGACCGGTGACCCGGCCGACGCGCGCGGCAGACGCGCACCAACCATGCGTCGCCCCGATCGTACGTGTATCATCTCCAGCCACACCAAACGCATATGCCACGTGCAGGTGCAGCTAGCTAGCCAGCCATAAGTGGCGTTGGTGTCATAACGTGTCTATCAGTGTCAAAGCATGCTAATTATATTTAGACTATAGTGTTATAAGATATCGATAAGCATTTTAACAGAATTTATTGCCAAAAGTCATTGATGACGCTTGATGTTAGGAAATGATAGTCAAATAAACGATAAAAAAAACAACAAATCAATCACATAAAACACGAGATTTTACATGGAAAACCCTTCTAAAGCAGGAGAGAAAAAACCACGGGCGCCAGCTAGCAAAATATCTTCACTGTATTAGGGTGGTGAGGTTACAACGCCGAATGACGACTTACAAGAAGTATATATGAAGGTACCCTAAAATGATAACGATCCGGCCCAAGCCTCCCGTGATGGGCCTCCGCTTCGCTCCGTCCGAAGCTGGCCCTTGTACGTGTGCAGATGAATTTGGATCACAACTCCCCACCTGACATCACAACTCACCACCTGACACAGCTAACACTGTACATCCTCCACTGCCAGCCATTCCTCCGGCGACGCCAGCAGCGGCCAACCAGCCGTCGTGTCGTCCTGCCCCCGGCCGGCCAAAACGACAGATAGCTCTCGCCGGCGGGGCCGGCTCACGGGCGCCGGGAAGCTAGCTATAGCTCCGGCCGCGTCGCTGCAGCTAGCGCCGCGGCGCCGGTGTCGCCTCGCCTGCCGGCCGGCTGGCCGGCGCGCGGCGCGTACCGGCGTACATCCATCAATCCGTCACCGGTGGCGACCCGTGAACTCGATCGCGACACTACCACAACGCCGGCCGATCAGTTAATTGTTGGGATCGCGCGCGTTTGGTGGCAAATCGAACTGAACAATGCATTTGGGGATTGGCACTGACATGATCTCAACAACGGATGAGTCCAAGCCGTATGACGCATGAGAACAAGCCTTTTTTTAGCAGGCTAAAATCCATCGTCCACGGATTCACATGCCTGTACAGCCATGTGAAGGTGAGGTTATTGTCTAAGCATCATCTGAGAAAGCCTGAAATGGCGTTCTGTAGTGTATATGTACAGTGTGATGACTGATGACACCTGTCCGGAACAATTTGACAAGAGGACAGTGAGTACGGGATCACGTGGAAGAGGAAATCATCTACCATGACAATGACCGGAGAACATGATGAACATCTCATATAGTAACCATCTGCAGATGGTGTTGCATACGCTGCTCCATTGGACGTGCTGACCACAAAATACTATCACAAATTAATTTAAGCCTGTTCCAGACTCGTGAGTCACATGGAAGAGGAAATCATATCCACAAGAAATAGTAGTTGTTTTAATAGTAGTGCACTGGTACTAACGGTTTTAAGCAAATGGTTTCTGCACTCACTCATTCCGGGGATGTAGCTCAGATGGTAGAGCGCTCGCTTAGCATGCGAGAGGTACGGGGATCGATACCCCGCATCTCCATTTTCGTTTTTTTTCGATTGATCCTTTTTCCCTTTTTTCTGAAATCTGCCTTGGATCAGTTGGATCAAGCCATTGAATCCAAATGCTTATAAGATGAGCAGTTCTCAATTCTGTCTTGATCAGTTGGTTCAAACATGTGAATCCAAATTCCAAATTCCGGAGGAGAAAAAAAAGATTTTACTATTTCACTTGCAACAGTTTTTTGGGCTTCTATTTTTTTTACCTTTTTTCGTCAGTAAGATCTTGCATCAACGTACATATTCTTGTATATCCAACTAGTAATTATATAGCACTTACGCTCAATTATAATGCGTAAAAATTGTGAGTGTCTGTGTTATACTGTGTAATTCTTAAAAAAAGATTTTAAAATATTTTTTTGATTGCATTTACAATGTTTGACATAATTATATTTTTTATTTCATTTAAAACTGGCTATATTCATTAATTAAAAATTCTGTAAGATTTGAAGCAATAAATCTATCGCGACATCAATAGGTAGATTGCCATCCTCAGACCTCAGCTGATGTATGCCGCCTAGGAGGCTGTCCAGTATGGATCGCTTACCAAATAGTTGGGTCTTGTTCTTTATTCGGCCCAACTTAGCCGACTCTGGCTCGAGCGCCCGATGGGAGGAGGTTAAAATCGGGCGCTGACGTCAGCGCCCGATTTACGTGTAAAACTATTTTAAACTGATTTTTCTCTTAAATTACTTATCCAAATCACGATCCGATTGCACCATTAAATTCGTTACAATTAAATCTTCAAAACATGACCACACATAGATATATTCCGACGAAAAAAATTAGCTTATTATTGAATTATTTTTAAATATTGCACGGTGTTCCACCAGGTATATCGAAATTGTTTCACAAAGTAGATCGAAAATGTTTCACTCGTTTAATCGTGTGTTGTTTCACTTTATATAAAAATAATGTTTCAGCAAATAGCGAAAGAATGTTTCGGTTCACTGCAACATTTGATCTATACATAGTGAAACATTATAAGTACATTAGGTGAAACATTTTTTTAGTGGAACAAAAAATTAAACGAATTCCCTTAATAGGGGGTTTCCAAAATATGTGGTTTTTTTTGTTGCAATGGAATATTTCAGTTCACTGCAACATTAGATCTATACATAATGAAACATTGTGAGTGCACTAGATGAAACATTTTGTGTGGAACAAAAAAATAAACCAAATGCCCTTAAGAGAGGGTTTCCATAATATGCGCGTGATTTGTTTCAACGGCGCGTTCTATAATATTAAAATCCACTGCAACATTTGATCCGTATATAGTGAAAACAAAAAAAAATAAACCAAATTCCCTTAAGAGAGGGTTTCCATAATATGCGCGTGATTTGTTTCAACGGCGCGTTCTATAATATTAAAATACATTGCAACATTTGATCCGTACATAGTGAAACATCACGAGTACACTAGCTGGACATCGTAAAACTACTGGTTCAAACATTAAAAGAGATCATATGTAACATTAAAAAATATCAATAAAAAAACTAAAATATTTTTTTTTGAAATATAATCATGCGTGGTCTTGTTGTAAAGATTTAATTACAACGGCGTAATCGTATCATAGATTGGATAATTAGTTTAGGAGAAAAATCGTTTATTTAAAGTAGGAGTGGCGGGAGGCGCGGGCACTCGAGGCGTCCGATTTTTTCTTCTGTCGTCGGGCGCCCAGCATTCCCGAACGATAAAATACTAGAAAATTCGGCCCAGTATAGATCATCAGTATAGGAAGACTGGGCCAAATTTATAATTGTAATGGACCGTTACCAACGGCAGCGACCCAAAACCGGCCCATCGTCCATCGATAAAATTTCCAACGGAAGCGGCCGACCACTGGATCGGATTAGTTCAGCGGCCCTCTCTCACTGCAGTCTCGGTCGGTGAGGGGGCCCACGTGTCATCAGCACACATGTCAACAGCTGACAGCCGAAGCCTCAAGTGGGGCCCAGTGTCAGGCGAGGCGACACGTATACGCGCGACCTTAGCGGTTAACCTCCCGGTAGCATCACCTCCAATCTTACTCCCTCCTCCTCCCCCACCACTGCCTCCGGCGATTTCCTCCTCCTCCCCGTTCTCGAAGCTTCTTCGCCCTCGCCGCCATGCGCCGCCCGTGGAAGCACCCGACGAAGGCCAGGCACGGCGCCGCTGACCTCTGCCTCCGCGAGGTCGGCCTCCTCCTCCCCCGCCGCTTCGCCCGCCGCGCGGCCGCCTCCGAGGTGCGTGCCCCTCCCCCCTCGATCTCTCTCTCTCTCTCTCCCCCTACCTCACGACGATTGGATCGGATCGGTAGCGAGGGCTAAAGGATCGGGGCGATCGGGATGGGGTTTGCGCGCTCGCCGGTTGCTGGATCGAGGCGTGATGAATCGTGTGCTTTTTGTGTTGTTGCGTGTTTGATGATGATGCTTGGGCGGGTGTTGGGTTAGCTAGGAATAGTGTTGGGGTAGGGCGGATGCGGATGCGGAGCGAGCACCGGTGATGGTGGGCGATGCGATTCGGTATCGGGGGATTCGGTTCGTTCTATACTGGTTGGGTTGATGCCGATTACTCGCTAGATTGGTCTCGCGAGCAAGCATGGTTGATGTCGATTACTCGTTAGATTGGTCTCGAGAGTATTTGGTTGCAGATGGTGGGAATGAATCTCTTAGCACAGGGCGTTTAGCCATCTAGAACTTTCGATTGGCAACTTAATGGGTCTGGACTGAACAGCTTGATCTGAACTACCTGTTACCATGATCGTTAACTAATGGGCAGAATTAAAGAATAATGCTAATGTAATTGTTGGCATGTACAGGATCTTGTAATGCGCCTGCAGGTTCACAGGAAGCTCAACAGGCATACAGGCTGCGTGAACACGGTAGGCTTCAACGCGGATGGCGATACCCTCATATCGGGGTCCGATGACCAGATGGTGATGCTGTGGGACTGGGACACTGGTGCAATCAAATTACAGTTTCCTTCAGGCCATAGCAACAATGTGTTCCAAGCCCGTTTCATGCCATACACGAACGATCAAACCATTGTCACTTGTGCTGCTGATGGAGAGGTTAATGGACGTATTGTGTTGTTTTGATCTTTTGATATAAATTACATTTTAGATATTTCAGATGTAATCATGTGTTACTGCAAACAGGTGAGACTTGCCAAGATAGGGGATGGTGGAGATGTACCTACTACATTGCTAGGCGATCATGATGGAAGGGCTCACAAGTTGGCCATTGAGCCTGGCAGTCCTTATATTTTCTATAGCTGCGGCGAAGATGGGCTTGTTCAACATGTAGGGAACCACGGACCCCCTCCCTCCTTCACAAATGCTCATTTTCAGCTATGTATAAAATGCAAATGAATTTCTTACTGTATAACTAGCCACTTCCCTTCTTGTGCAGTTTGATTTGAGGACAAATACAGCCACAAAATTATTTCAGTGCAGAAACTCTTTGAGTAAATCAGGACACTCTTCCAATATTCATCTTAATGCAATCACAATAGATCCGAGGAATCCAAATCTTCTTGCAGTTGGAGGAAGCAATTGTTATGCTCGTGTCTATGACATCCGCAAATACAAATGGGATGGATCTTCTGATTACCCATCTGACTGCTACTGTCCACCACATCTTATTGGCAATAGATTTGTTGGAATAACAGGCTTAGCATTCTCTCACCAGAGTGAGTTGCTTATATCTTACAACAATGAGAATATTTATCTCTTCCCTAAAAATGGAGGACTGGGACCAGACCCAAAGTCATCTGTCAAGATTGAAGCCAACAAAGGGTCCAAATCAACAATAGTTTCATCTGGAGAAGATGTTGATCGACCTGCACCACTGATGTATGCTGGACATCGCAATTGTGAGACTGTCAAGGGAGTGACATTCATTGGGCCAAATCATGAATATGTCGCCAGTGGGTCAGACTGTGGGCGATTATTTATTTGGAGAAAGAAAGATGGGAAGTTTTTGCGGGCAATGGAGGGTGATGAATGTGTTGTAAACTGTATTGAGCCCCATCCGCACACTATGACAATTGCAAGCAGCGGAATCGATAATGACGTAAAGATATGGACTCCCTCTGCCACTGAGCGAGCACCAGTGGTAAACATTGAGGAGGTACTATTGGAGCACCAGCTATCTCTGCTTGTCATCTCAACTTACATCAACATATTATGCATTTCTCTATCCTTTATGTTATATTATTTTGATAATTTGCCAATAAACAGTTGTGCTTTCCATATTGTGCGCTGAATAGGCACATAATGACCAGCTGTTTGCAAACAAAATCTAACTGTTACATTGTCTATAGGAACTAGGAAGCAGTTCCACATCAGTGCCTTCACCCCTCTTGACAATTCATCTATTGATCTTTTTTAGGACTGTTGATATTGACAACACCAATGACATTGAAAGTGTTCAATATTCATATCGATAAAAAAGAGTGAAAATACCAGTGTTATTGCACTGTAGTATCAAATTGAACTTCTCTATGATCATGTCTTTATTTTTTTTTCTCAATATGCTTTAGCCTTATTATTACGTTAATGCTGATGTTTCACATATTTTCTTTCTTCCAGTTGAAGCCTCGTAAAAGAAGAACAAAACTCTGGCACTTTTCTCTACCAGAGGAATTGATCTTTCATGTTCTGGCATCACGACGCAGACAGCAAGCAGCTGGAGATGATGATTCATCTGAGGATCTTGAGGACAGCACAGGATTGCTTAATCTTGTACTCCGAGCTGCGGAGAGAGACGTGCTATCTGATGAGGATGAAGAATCCTCCGAGGACTCTGGAGATTGTAGTCTCAACTTATCTATGGCTCAACCCTGGAAACATTGCTAAATTGTACATATACAGTGATGTTTTATCCTGTTTTCATGGACGTGTGTTTTTCAGTTAGCGGTGTATGAGTGCCAGATGTTCCTGATCTATCTCCATCATCTCCACTCCCGCCCATTGATCCAGTGAACAAACTAGCACGTACAGAGAATTCAGATTCTCTTCAAGCATATGTCAAGTGTAAATAAGTTCACATAAATAAGCAGACATACAATACATAATCATGTCTATAACATCTGTTCAGTTAGTGAGCCTACTGCTGCAAAGCCAGCACAAGCTAGGCTGAAACCTTCGATACTGAAAAGGTGAGTTTCTGATAGCAACCAGGTTGTGAGGCCAATGGGAGACCAATTTTTCCCACAGAAATCTTTGGCTAAGCTTTTGATTATTTTTTTTTCACGAACGCGTAAAATAATTGCACGTTAACATATTAGAAGGAAAAGAGATTTTGTTACACAACACAACCAGCCAAACCGGTTTATGCTAGGGGTTTATGCTAGGGAAAGGGAGAAATCGCAAAATAAAAAAACTGTAGCTGTAACTACGGCGGCTAAATGTAACTCCGATCAGCTTTTGATTAACCGAATTGCCCATATGCTCAGTTGCCCACCAACTATTTGGTCAAGTAAATTGAAGTGGAAGGTAGCAGCGGATTGGTCAATAGGGATCGATATGCGACAGGTTCTTCAATTATGCAAAGGCATAAATATTCAGTTGCCCGCGCCGCGACGAAGGCTACAAATATAACCAGCTGCGAATCATTACACGAGAGAAGGGACGCGCGCGGCGCCGTGAGAGCACGTAGGTAGAGTTTGAGTCTGATCATTGAGCTGAGCAGCCATGTGGAATCAAAATAATCCCCCATTGATTCCACATTTTGATCGAACCCCCTCCGTTGACCGAATTTGTTCGTTGCTCCTGTGATTTGTTTAGCGGGAGAAAAACTGCAATGTCAACCGATGTTTTACCGAACGAACAATCGAATCAAGAAACGCTCGATATATATATATGGAACTAGCAATGCGCCATTGTCGATGACACCACCAAATCCAATGCAAGGCTGCTTCCCTTTCAGGAGTACTCATCGTCGGCAACCGCTTCGTCACGGCGGCGGCGGCGGCGTGACCGTCGTCGTGTCCCGCGGCGGCGGCGGCGGCGGCGCCGCCCGCGTCAAGATCGTCGTGGGCGAGGACGAGCTGGACCGCATCGCCGCCGGCGTCACGCGGAGGCAATGCGCGGTTGGGTCGCCGGAGCTCCTGCAGCAGCAGGCGAGGGCGACCGAGGTGGCGGCGGCCCCGATGCCGATGCGGCGGCCGGAGTCGGAGGGTGGCGCGCTCGTGGCCGGCCGGCGCGGCGAGTGGCAGCCTGCGCTGGATGGCATACCGGAGGAAGCGTAAGAGTGAGGAGGGAGAGTTTAAGCCTCCGACGTATTGATTGCTCGTTGATTAATTTGTGTAATTAATCAAGGAGAGGAGGCGTTAATCAGCTTTCAGGTTGGATATTTACAAATTACAATGGCTGCTTTGATGGAAGTGCTGCTGCTTTGCACTCCTGAATAATCCCAGATGACTAGCTTTTGTGTCTTCTTTCTTATGTCAAGTGTGTTCCCATTTTACTTGAAAGAGAGTCATAACTCCTCTTTTCAAAGTACTCCCTCCGTCTCGTAATCTTGGAGTGATGTGATATATCCTAGTTCATATCTTGGTTTAATGTGATGTATCACATTGCTCTAAAATCTTTTATATCACGGGATGAAGGGAGTAGTCGATGCTCTCGCGTGTTACAGCGGGCCGTTAGAACCCATTTACAAAGAAACATGGATTTAACGGTTGATTTACATCTCATGGACATGTCGATATAATGGTTGTTGTAGTTTGATGACGTGACTAAACGGGTTGTAACTATTACATAAATATATCGGAATGTCCAGTTAAATGAATAAAATAAAAAGATTTCAGCCTCTCTTTATTTTATTTATTTGTTGTTCTTTTTTAAAAGGAGTTTTATTTTTTTCCAAAAATAAAAGAATTTAGTTTTTTTATTCTGGGAACTTTTAAGTAATGTTACTTAAACCACAAGGCCTAGGGCCTGTTCACTTTGATGCCATTTTCAACATTACCAAATTTTGGTAAAGTTGCCAAAAAAGTGGCTACATTTATTTTGCTGTCAAATTTTGGTAACTATATAAGAAATCCTACCAAAATTTTGGCAAGTTGCCAAAATTTTGGCATAGTTGTCAAAATTTCGGCAATGCCAAAATTTAGTAAGGTTTTTTTGGCATCAAAGTGAACAGGCCCCTAAACAAGCCCCAGCCCAGCTACAAAAATGCACCTGCAATTCCAAGCCTATTTAAGGCGGGTGCCTTCTTGATGCCCATGAAAAGCCCAAGCCCAGTGACAGAAACCAAATGCTGCCACTATTTCACAACTCAGAAAGTCACACAAGCACATATTACAACTTGTTCATCTTCTTCCTAGGGCAACCGTATACAGGGTCCCCAATTTGAAGGAACCCTACTTCCTGAATGCACTTAACATTATTGAATCTACCACTTGAAAAGGACCAAGTTGCACTCAGTGATTACACAATAGAAGCAATATTTCCTCAAGAAGCAACCGTATGCATTTCCGTTCCTTGCTTCCATAGCTGGCGCCATGGGCACTAGTTGAGCTGGTCCAATTCATAGTTCTGCACTTTCTTAATTTTCTTGGGTTGCTTATTCATTAATTCGTCTGTACAGATTGCGTACATTATAGTTCATGGAAATGCTAGGCTGTAATGATTGCCTAGTTTATGATGTTTGTACCAGTGCTGCATTTTTTCCCCACTTAATTGATGCGATGTGGGGGTATCACTGACATAAACAAAAGAAATCATGCAAAACATCTATTTTTCAGAGAAATCTATAAAGTTCTCTAATAATTGTGAAACAAAATAAAATAGATCAAAATCTAGCATTGGACGTAATATTTGGGGATTTAGAGTAGATTAACACATAGCCTTATACAGGGATGATCCACCTACAAACTCCAACTAAGCTCCATCGACCCTGACGACCTTAGGGAAAAGTATTTGGGTGACATGTAAAAGTATTTGTAGAAAAGTATTTTTGCTCTTTGAGAGGATTATGCGAGAGAATAGGAGACATCTCGGAGGAAAAAAATAAATTCATCTCCCGATCTTTGGCAAAATCTATTATCAAAATCATTATTATTTTTATTATATGATGAATCGATGACCCCATGTATCGATTGCTATTAGTTATAGTCCATAATGATCCCATGAAGTGGGCGAATTATTTTTCTAGATCAGCCATTTGGCCTTATATGTAGCCTTTGTGGATTGTAAGCTCTGACCTAAGTATTTATATAAGAAGTTGATATATCACACCACCATATGTTAGGAACGCTCTGCAACTACCTAATATACATGCACGATTACTTAGTTTGTAATGAAATCATTGAACTATTTTTATAGATTCGCCCATAACCCTTAAATGCAACCATTGTGGATTGTAAGCTCTGACCTACATGTAATTAACTATATATAAAAGAAGTTTATACTAATATATATACACTGCCATATGTTAGGAACGGCCCTACATTCCTACAACTAGCTAGTACTGCATAATTTAGCATTTCATCCGAGTTTCTTGCACCGGCATGATGCATGCATTGCAATTTGCATGCCATGCACGACCAAGGAGATAATCACATACTCCCTCCGTTTCACAATGTAAGTCATTCTAGCATTTCCCACATTCATATTGATGCTAATGAATCTAGATTTAGATTCATTAGCATCAATATGAATATGGAAAATGCTAGAATGACTTACATTGTGAAACGGAGGAAGTAGCAGATTGAGACCATTTTGCCTTTTTCTTTTCTACAGATAGATAAAATATATTATAATCTATACTACTTAAAATATTAGTAGTGGTGATATCCATTCTACCACACCATCGCTACCACCGATATTTTGATCCATACAATCTACACTATTACATCACCCTCCAACGAACCCTCTTCATTCACTGCTGCTTCTTCCCAAATTTTGAAATCACCTACTTATTTAATAATAAAAATACTACTGGAACTAAATATGTGCTTAATTGATTTAATAATCTAGAAACTTAATTTGATTTCTTTTGCAACGCATGGGCTCTTGGCTAGTATTACCTAAAATAAATAAAAATATATTTATCATAAAATGTGTTATATCTTTTTGTTATAGGAAATATTCGCCCCAATTAAATTTTAGATGTGGCTATCCATTTAGATTAATTGTTTTCTAATATTAAGAGGTTTGAAAAATAATTTATAAAATTTAAAATTAGATTGCAACTGATTCATCAGCACTATTATTACTCTCGGGGCCGACCAGGGGGGATGTCAGGCCGTGCGGCCACCTGAGGCCCCAAAAATCTAGGGCCCCCTATACACATATAGTATATATACTACGTATTGTATAATTCTAGTCCATGGACCATGGGTCTATATTAAGTTAGATAGCTGAATAGCCAAATACAGAGAATGAATTGTAGTCCATCGTCAAGCCTGTTTCAGCGAAGCCGAAGCGATCTTCATTTGACTCTCGTCGCTTTGCCTTGATCACATCATGCCACTCGTGTCGTGCCGCCTCGATCATGTCATGCCGCTCGCTGCTCTTGTGCTCTCGACGACTTCTCGACTTCTTGGCATCTCACAAATGGAGCAAGTCTGCAAATCGCGGCTCGTCAGTAGCCACGCTCGTGTCGATCATCTGTCGGTCTCCTCTGCTCGCTACTGATATTTATTTCTCTTTGATGTTTTAAAATGTTATCTCTACTATTATAAAAATTGAAGATGTTTTTCCTGGTGTTTTGATACGTCATCCGTGTATGAGTTGGTTTTTAAGTTCGTTTGCTTTTGATAATACATATCCATATTTGAGTCGGTTTTTAAGATCATTCACTTTTGGTAATATAGAAGGAATTGTGTTTAAAAAAACTCGCATGCTAACTTGAGACGATCGGACTCCTAACTGCAGCTCATGATTTTCTAAAAATATATATATCCAAGCGAACTCCCACAGTGAATTTCATCTAACTAAACCATATAACAATAATAAGATTAAAATAGACTTCATTTCGTTACAACGCACATGCATTTTTTCTAATATATAGGTAATTTTATCACATCGAATATTAAATATTGTGTATTTATAAGACTATGTAAATATATATATATATATATATATATATATATATATACACACACCAAAACCCCAGGACCGGCCCTGATTACTCTCTTCTTCTAAAAATATTTTTACTGTTCTTGAGAAAGTACTGAGAGACACTATATTTTCTATTGTAGAATTTGGTATCTATTGTTATCTATGATACTTGGAGATATCATATTTTATACTAAAATTTTTCTCTTGGTACCTTTCAAATACCTAAAATTTCTCTTTTTCTAAAGTAGTATAGATACAACTTGACACGTTTACATTGCCACGCAACAGTTGTTCGATTGTTCTTTTCTCTGAATCTCTGGCAAATTCAACACAAACACTGGTACAGTACTCTTTCTTCTTCGTCGTGACGGCGCACGCAATGCACAGGTTCGGCTCCCCTGGCCGTCGGAGTCCAAATTTCCGGCTCATCCAGCGACCACACGAGAAGAGAAGGTAACTGCGAGAATAAATTCAGAACTTTGGTTAGGTCGATCAGATCCCAAATGGCAACGTACAGTGTCACAACTCCACTAGAAATCCGTCACGCGGGGTGCATATTTGGATACTAATTACAAGTATTAAACGTAGACTATTGATAAAACACATTCTATAATTCTGGACTAATTCGTGAGATGAATCTATTGAGCTTAATTAATCCATGCTCTATGTGATGCTACAGTAAACATAAGCTAATTATAGATTAATTAGGCTTTAAAAATTATCACGCAAATTATCTCTCATTTATGTAATTAGTTTCGTAAGTAGTCTATATTTAATACTCCAAATTAGTGTCCAAACATCCGATGTAATAGGGACTAAAGTTTAGTATCCGGATCCAAACACCCCCTAAGCGAAACAAAATATTTGTTCAATAGGATTGGGCTAAACAGGAAACAACACGTGATGGATGGTGATCATCTTAGCTTAGCTCAATTATGCAAATACACTGAACTGGTTCCTGAATATATTGCTGCTCAATGACTTGTCCATACATGCATAAATGGGGATGTGCATATATCATGTGCAAATGGCACAATTGTTTCGGTTTTCATTTGGTTAAGAAGTCTAAATGCTGAAATTAAAACATTGCGAGATTATGAAGGTGGACATGGCATATATATCTAACAAAATTTTAAGACCAAAGTCGACTTCGTTTGCCAGATATAAAGATAATATAAGTTGTTTGTTCATAAAGTTTGACAACTTTTACAGTAGATCAGGATAATTTTTTTCTTTTTTTTGCTTTTGATTATACGAAAATAAGTTCAGCTTGGTTTCAAAAGAATCAATAAATATATTACATGCCGGCCATCATATATCTAGTATTTTTTAAAAACTAGAAAAAAATACACGTGCGTTGCAATGGGTGAAGCCTATTTTAATTTTATTGTTGTTATACGGTCTAGTTAAGGTGAAATTCACTATGAGAATTTACTTGGATATATATATTTTTTTTAGAAAATCATGAGTTACAATTAGAAGTCCGATCGTTTTAAGTTAGCATGCAAGTTGTTTTTAAAGAGAATTCTTATACGACTCTTTCTATATTTTTAAAAGCGAACGAACTTAAAAACCAACTCAAATACGGATATGTATTTCCAAAAATGATTAAAATTAAAAACCGACTCATACACGGATGATTTACCAAAGTAATGGTAAAAATATCTTCAATTTTTATAATAGTAGAGATAAGAAGGAGAAATTACTCCTTTTTTGCCACATAGTTGATATAGGCCTCCTCTACTTTCCTATTAAGAAAAAACAGCTTATTAGGGAATAGCAATTAACTTATAGTTAAAATTTATATATATGTTTGTTTTTAGCGACTTAAAAGCAATATAAAAAAGAAACTACATGGAAAATATCTTAAAACCAACTTTAAAATTATGTTTAAAAATTTATTTTTTTTCTTTGGCTTTGGCTTATTAGGACATCTGATGGGGTCTTATATGGTGAAGGAGCAATTTCAATTTTAAAAAATATACCACAAACTTCCAAATCCAAATCATGGAAAACAAAAAAACAAAAAAGAAAAGATAAGGGGATATGAAATGTTACATACTCCATTCTTAAAAAGAAAAGGAGATCAATCTTAGCACTGAATCTGAACACGTGTGTGTTTGCACGTGTTTATAGATTCATAGTTGTTTTTTTACGGAGAAAGTATGAAATGTCCGCGCGTGCACGTCTTGTTTCAACCCTCTCAAAATGTTTTATAAAAAAAACACAGCAACAGTGAAAAGATTACTAGCTTGACGCATACATCTTTCGTCCCATAAAATACAATCCTTAAACTCTCCTTGGTTCATGCCGGCCGGCCGGCCGGCGAGGTTCCCGGTCGTCGCCGTCGGAGCAGAGGCAGGACAAGAGGCCGGCCGGTGGCCATGGCGATGTCACGACAGCGACAGTTTGCACAGCTGCGTCGTCGTCGCCATTGGCGCCATGTCGATGTGGACTATGATCATCAATCAACTCCTCCTCCCCTGACGTATCACCTGCCGAGTAATAACAGGTAGGTTCGCCATTTAGATTATGTTATATCATGAGTCTAATTTAATTGCTCATCCATCTCTCGCCATCTGGTTATCATCCGATCTCTATAGCTTTAGTATAAATTGCGATTATTATTTTTAACCACACGTACGATAAGCGCCATATTGCGACGATCGATCGATCGACAATTGTTAATTCGGAGATGTGACTAGTATATATATCTTGTTCAACTTGATCTTGTTTTTGAACTAGTCTGTTACTTCTGCGCGCATTACTCATCGCTGCCATTTGTGTGTACTCCCTCTATGCCTCTATCCCACGAAATATAAAGAATGGTTAAACTTAACACAATTAAAGTAAAAAAAGATGCATTTTCATATTTTAGGGAAAAATGCATTTTCATATTGCAAGGCATACGTTAACTTATTTAAACTCTTTAACTTTTTTATGAAAAATTTAAACTCTTTATCACAAGCAGCATAGGGTTTATATATATATAAACATTAAAGCACCAGTGAGCTCTATAAAGAATCCTTCATTTTTGTATGAAAACATCATATAAGACAAAAAAAAAGTGATATAAGACAAACAAAAAATTTTAGTTCTCTTAATCACAAGCAGCCATTCGTTTTTTATAAAAACATCATATAAGATAAAAAAGTATAGTCGGTCTGCCAAAAATACACTATTGTTAGTTTTCACCTTACTTCTTCCTAATTGCCGACTTGTAATTAATAATTAACTGTTATAGTTCTATTATTTTGTTTGTAGATCTGTTGGAAAAATAGATATAAATGAACACTCATCAATGACATCCCAAACCCATAACCCCATAACCCAAACCCAAACCCCTTAACCCCGACCCTTACCCTAGACCCGAAACCTCTCACAGGGCCGGTTAGACTGTAGGTATATGGCCGGTCTGACCGTAGGTAGGTTTGTCCTGTAAACTTTACCTTTGCCCACGAGAAGGATAATTATTCTCATGTCGATCTAAATCGGCCTAGAGGCCGTTTTTTATCTCTAAATCGGCTCCGCTAGCCAGTTTAACCATTTTCTACAAAATCCATCTTGATTTGGCCCTTTGAGCCGTGGGTAGGACTGTGGATGGGTGCGCCAATGTTTGAAAATATACCTGATTGAATAGTGCCAGCCTTGCTTGATTGAGCGGTGCCAGCCTAAAATGATAGAAACGTTAATTGAGCGAAAGGTAAAAACCTTGAGAAATGAAATGTTAGATTTAAAAGGTTTTACCTCCATGTGCCAGCCTAAAATGATAGAAACGTTAATTGAGCGAAAGGTAAAAACCTTGAGAAATGAAATGTTAGATTTAAAAGGTTTTACCTCCATATGTGAATATGGGTCAAATAATCTTTCAATCAAATCCAGATGGGGTGGTTCTCGACACCTCAAATTGTCGATTTCTGCAAAATAAATACTCATAAGAGAATAATAAATGTTTGTTTGTAAAGAATTTAAACGAAAGTGAAAGTAAAATTACCAGTTTAGCCCACATTTTTCTTGTATTTCTAATATTTTCTTTAATATTCTTGACACTATATGTTGCTCCCTGATCACACATCTTCTATTTAATCAACTTGTAAGAGACTTCCGACAGCTCCTTAGAACCATAAGACTCGATTCCTCCACACAATACTTATATAACATCAGTGTGTTATCTTTACTCCAGGGTCCACACAATGCTTATATAACATCAGTGTGTTATCTTTACTCCATGTGACCCTGGGAAAAAAAAAACTCTAAAACAGATAGAGCATTTAAAAGCTGAAAAGGCAAAAAGGAATACAAAGACTAGACTATTTAACCACAAGACTTATTCCATCATTCTCCCCTTAAGTCTTGGGCATCGTCTTGTGAGAAAGTTGGGCCATCCCGATCGTGTCAAAAATACACTATTGTTAGTTTTCACCTTTACTTTCTTATTACCGACTTGTAATTAACTGTTATAATACACTATCGATGTTAGTTTTCACCCTTACTTCCTTATTGCCAACTTGTAATTAACTGTTATAGTTCTATTATTTTGTTTGTAGATCTGTTGGAAAAATAGATATAAATGAACACTTATCAATGAGCCATGCAATATTCATATGTTGGAAGAATAGATATAAATGAACACTCATCAAGTAGCCATGCAATATTCATACTCTCGGTAGTCATTGCTTAGTGGTAAGCTATGTAAAGTATATATATTTTTTGTGGTTTGTTCCCTTTATAGCCGTATTTAGGAGGAGACGCAAACAAACGGTATATCTTTGCATTTTGACAACCAAAAGACCTGAGCCGGGTCTGTTTATAGTACTAAGCTGTTTAGAGGGGTGATGGCATGACTGTTTCTCATCTGCTTTAACCTGTTTAGAGGGGTGATGGCACGACTGTTTCCTCATCTGCTTTGAGAGGAGTTTCTTCAAGAACTCCTTCTCGGCTGAAATTTAAGGATAAATTTAGCTCATCTTCCAATTAGAATACCGGAACACAATTTGTTACGTTGCTCATCGTGTAAGCTTTAGAATAATCATGTTTCTGTAAATTGACTTGTTTTTTAATTATACAAAAATAATGCAATGCACTATTCACTCTAGTTGATAATTAAGCTGCAATATTTGCATCCATCTCTAGTTTTGTGTCTTATGTTGCGTGCTTACTTTTATTTTTTTTCCATTTTAGTATTGCTACTAGTAATTTTGTGTGTAAAATTTCTGTTTATTTTTTTCTGATTGGTTGTAGCAAGGGTTGCTATGCCAAGGTTTTTTTAGTGTGTAAGATTATTGTTTGTTCTTTCTTTGATTGGTTGTAGCAAGCGCTGCTGCTTTCTTCGAACCAATCAGGGTTGTTTGGATGGGACTAAAAAATTTTCTAGTCCATGTCACATCGAATGTTTAGACACTAATTAGATGTATTAAACGTAGACTATTGACAAAACTCATTTCATAACCTCGGACTAATTCACGAGACGAATCTATTGAGCCTAGTTAATCCATGATTAGCCTATGTGATGCTACAGTAAACATGTGCTAATTATGGATTAATTAGGCTTAAAAAATTTGTCACGCGGATTAGCTCTCATTTATGTAATTAGTTTTGTAAGTAGTCTATATTTAATATTCTAAATTAATGTACAAACATTTGAATGACAGGGACTAAAGTTTAATCCATGTATCCAAACACCACCTAAGTGGGCGAACTAGCTATCTATATGGAGAATTATGTTGTCGCTGACTTAGGGGCCATAGGTGGTAAAGGGCCACTGATCAGTGAATTTGTTGGATTCACTCATCTTCCTACCTTTTGGAGTGTTTGAGGCGGCAAGCAAACCCAAGGGGCTCACAAAATCATTCTTGAGCCTTCGGGGCTGCTCATATTAGAGCTAAAATAAAACTTATCAAATTTTGACAATGTTAAATTTTTAGTAAGTTGACAATATTATCAAAATTTTCGTATGATTTTTTATGTATTTACCAAGGTTTGGCAACAAACTAAATATAGTTTTTTTTACAACTTTGCCAAAAAAAATAGTATGGTTGAAAATGTCATCAATCTGAACAGTCCCTTCGTTCCTTTTAGATAATCCAAAGTGCAGAATTGATTGTGCTACTTAATTTAGAGTGTTTTTGGAAAGCTTCTAGCTGCAACTTCTATCAGAATCAGAAGCTTCCTTCAAACAATTCAATTTTCGGTACAAATTTTGAGAAATTATAGTTATAAAATCCAGAAAATAAGCTAGAAGCTAAAAGTTGAGAAACCCAGTTTTTTCAACTTCTCAGAATTTTAAGCTCCCGAAACAAACCTTTAATCATCTGCGTGAGCCTCCCAGTGCCAAATATCACTCTCTCCTGCCAACGATGGTCTCTTGTATGTACATCAAGAACATCATATTGATTTGTGAAGTTTGCTTAAGCCGTTCTTGTCGCTAATACTGCCCTTAATTGCAGGTAGTTGAACTAGCTACACTTGGTTGTCGCGTCTCGATATTTTCTTCAGATCAAATTGGCTGCCCCATTTCACTAACAAACATCCACGCCCACATCAAAACAAGCTTCTGACTGGACCAGCAACCATCTTTTTCTCTAACAAAAGTGAGGCCCAAATTCGATACAGTACCACCATGTTCTGTACACTCTGCAATCAGCAAAGCTCCATCATTTGCTCTTTAGCTTATCAGTTACACATAATATTTATTTTTTCAAAAAACTTGATTTTAAAGTTGGTTATGATATTTTTTTTATTGTAGTTTACTTTCTAACATTGGCTTTTAAATCTCATAGCATAGATATAATAGTTTCACCCATAAACTATTTTTTCTTCCTTTGTTCTTTTATACGGCTTATGAACTACTTCCTCTATCCAGATTCGTTGTACTGGAATGTGTCATATTCAGTTATATGTTTGTTTTTTTTTGGGACAAAGAGAGTATAGAGCAAATGATGAGAGTGTGTGCCTGAAAAATCCCAGAAACATTTGGCCAATCTCCATCTCTCTTTCTTTCACTCACATTAACACGTCCTTTTCTGAAGCCATACTTCGGCTCGCATGCTCTTATGTCGATGAATCGATCGATGGATGGAGATATTTCCCCCCCCCCCCCCCCCCCTTGGGATGGATGGATCTCATAACTGAGGAGGCAGATCTTGCAGATGACCAGGAGTTATTGCAATGCCAATGGTGCATTGCATTCCATAACCACTGGCATCGCATATATGGCCGTGTCAGCAGCAATGCGATGGCTGCATCTATCTCTAGCTAGCTAAAGTCTTTACCTGTGGGCTTCCTTTGCATCTCGGCAATGGCGGTATTGCAGGAGATCGAGGAAGGCAGAACGTGCAGGCTTTGTATTGCTGCTTACTTTGGAAATGGCCAATCGTCAGTATGTACGTACCGGCCGTTTTCTTGCTTGCTTGCTTGGTATGAATGTATGATCTGGTCGATGACGGCGTGCCCACCTATCATTGTACAACTAGCACTAACGGCCTCTCGCCATATGTAATAAATGGGAGAAGTACAGCCTCTTTTTTAAAAAAATAGATAGCACCATTTAATTTTGAACAAACATTTAACAATTCGTTTCATTTAAAAAACTTATATAATTATCATTTATTTAGATTTTAAAAACCTATGGATACAACACCTAATGGTAGGGATATGGAGGTTAGATTTTGTGTCTTATAGGTATGCCTGACTCGAACCCAAGTTATAAGCGGGTGCGTCGTGGGTATGGGTACCCGAATATACTTGTTTATACGTGGTTTTTGGATAATTATGTGTCAGCACTAACTAAAACTTGAATTTTGTCAGTGCAACAAGATCATAGACTACTGATGGCTTAGTCATATGTTTTCATGAAATAATTTGTATTTTAGTTTAGCTGTAGAATTATGAATTTTCATATGTAATTAATACTTTGTGATTGTGAATTACTGTAACCTATTGATTGTTTATGGTTTATACTTGCTAGTTAATAATAAATGCCTAATTCTGATGGTCTATATCTATCATAGATTATATCATTATTACCGAAAAACCTAGTGCTTACACGGTACCCGATGTATATGGGCATGGATTTTATTTTACGCCCTATACGTAGCGTTGGTCATAGGTCCGGAAGGAGTTTTGGGCTTCAAGTTAGGCATGTTCTTGCTCTGCTAGAACCCAACCCTATCCTAAAACGCTATAATTTTTCCTATCTTTTTGCATAGAGTAGTCTCTCTTCAGATCATGAAAGTGAAGGTTTAATGAATCAAGCTGGCGAGTTGAGAGTCCCATCCTGCGAGTTGATGTACTAGTGCCCTTGAGCCTGGTCTTGATATCAAATCAGATTTGAGATGAATTATGACAAATTGTTTGTAGGTTCTGCAGCATTTAGCGTAAGAAAATGATCGCTCGACTTTGTATATAATTGGGACACCATTTTCAGCTCAGTAGATAATGAGTTATAGATAGAGACATCCACTACTTTCTTTGTGCTTCATTCAGGAGAGTCAAAATCATATGGAAACCACTGTGCTGCTGTGTGTTAACCATGGATAAGTGGATAACACCCAAACCCTTGAACGTTGCTATCTCAAAACTGATCGAACCCTAAAAATGTACCCATATACCCCTCAATTATGTGTGCCACTAGGTCTTTTCTTTTTCCCTTTTGTTCTAGCAATGTTTTCCTTTTCTTCTGCTGTTGTACCTTACCCATTTGATCCTTAAACCACCAGCCTTCTCTCTTTTCTGGGGTAAACAATTGATAACCTATGATTCCTACCATGAATCAGCACATTAATTGAATCACTGTAATTTGTTCAACTTTGTAGACATATTTGCCATAATAGAAAAATATTTAAATATTAAGGTGGGGGGGTGTATCCCTCAAATCCCCAATTAATCTGTAAAACAAATCACGGCAACATGCAGAAATGTTCAGACCAGGATATTTTTCCCGTACGGTAAAGTGGTAACCACATAAAACCAAGGGAAATTGGACAAATTTTACTAAAATATTAGATCTTTGTTCCTGGTAAAAAAAATATTAGATCTTTGTTAAAATGTTTTTAAATTTGGTCTACGTACCCGGCGGTAACAGTATCCCACCCCAGCATTAAGGAAACCTTGCTTCAGACCAGTTGCATATTCTGATATCTATTGCTTATTAAATTACTAGCAGACCCACTGTAAATGATCTACTTCTACAATACAGTTATCTACCTTAAAATCTCCAAACTGCATACCTTGTAAAATTGATGTGTTTTACAATACTCTACTGGTACTTTGGTAGTAGAAACAATCTACCTCTCCATAAAAAAAATCAATCATATCAACGAATCTGAATACATGCATGTCCAGGTTCGTAGCTAGGTTTATATTTTTTTAAGACGAAGTAGTAGACCATTTATTTTTTTTCTAATTCAGTAAATCATATTTATTTATACTATCACTTCAACCATTGGTAGTGCAATAATTTCTTTTACTAGTAATAGAAGTCATAAATCAACGGTTGATCAGATCACTTCTAAGGTGATAACACCGTACTATAATACTCTCTCCGTCCCTAAATATTTGACGCCGTTGACTTTTTTAAACATGTTTAACCGTTCGTCTTATTCAAAAACTTTTATGAAATATGTAAAACTATGTGTATACATAAAAGTATATTTAATAATGAATTAAATGATAGGAATAGTTACTTAAATTTTTTGAATAAAATGAACGGTCAAATATATTTAAAAAGTCAACGCGCTAAATATTTATACCTCCGTCCCAAAATACTCCATAAAATATAACACTGCTAGTACTCTGTAAAGTTTGCCCGTGTTTGGACCATTATCAGAAAAAAGAAATGATGACAATAATCATCACGGACCAATACGAAGAATCCGAAATCCGAGATGGAGTCGGACAGTAGCAGGGTAGGGCACACCACTGCCCTGGCCCCCCCAAATGTGCAGGAAGGGAAAACCGGCCACTCATTCAGGCCAGTGGATTGCAGCGAGCGAAACCGGTGGGCTCTGCCTCATATCGCGGCGTCGCCATCAGCTTGCGTCTTTTGCCTAGTCGGGCGACCATGGATTGCCGCCTATTTATAGCAGCTTCTCTTCTCCTCGCTTAGCTTACCTCCACAATCACACTGAGCTAACCTCCATTTCCACCATCTCCGAGCTTCTTGTTGTTGTTGTTGTTGGTTTGGTTTGCGAGTCTGCAACCAATGGACGCGTCTCCGAGCTCCTCGTCGTCGTCTCCTGTGGCGCCGGAGGTGGTGCAATGGGCCGGCGGCGCCGACGGCTTTGGCTCGGCGGCGATCGGCTTCGCGTGCAGGGTGCTCTGCGCCGTCGCCACCTGCGTCTTCGCCGCAGGTGCATGCGCCGGCGCGCTCTGACACGGTTGATTGGTTGGTTCTTGGTGCTGACTGCGAGTGTGTGTGCAGTGGGGTCGGTGGTCGGGGCGGTGACCGGGAGCGCGATCGGGCTGGCGACGGAGAGCGGAATGCTGCGCGGCGCCGGCATCGGCGCCATCTCCGGCGCCGTCTTCTCCATCGAGGTCGCCGAGTCGTCGCGCGACCTCTGGCACTCCAGCGACTCCGCCGTCTGGTGCCTCGTCTACATGGTACGCCCAAACACACATTGCTTCTCTCGTCTGGCCTCCCATGATCATCTCCAAGCATTCCGGATTATATTTTTCGGAGACGCAAGAGCAGAGTTCAGACGAATCAATCATTCGCTGCAGTTTTTGGCCTCTGAAATTCATGTTGTTTTCTCCTCCTCTGTTTCTGGAATCATTTTTTCTTGAGAAGGGTTTTTTCTTACCCGACCTCTACATCCAACCGGATAAAATGCGGTATTTTTTACATTAGAAACTATTTTACATTAGAAACTTAGCCCTTAAAATTGCCTAATTTGAAATTCGTTTCTACGTTGATTTAAACTGAAGACCTTATGTTGATTTAAACTCAAGACCTTAAAGTGCTATTCACGTTAATGCAACTACTAGACTACATGCCCTTTTACAAATTCGTTTCTTGAAACAAATTTTGTGAAATATTCTGACAAGAATTCAACTAGCATTTTCAAACTGTAAAAGGAAATCCAGGGATTGGGATCATCTGACGTGAAGTCGAGGAACATGGTGACTGACATATAGGCCCCACCTCTCGCGGACCTACCTATCAGTGACCACGTCAGAGGAAGTTCACGTCGGAGGATCCTCTTCCGAAATCCAGTCCATCTCAAAAATGATCTGAATTCGATGACCTGTTCATGTTGGGGAGGTCATGGTAAGGGTATGAACAACTGTAAACCTGTCAAACAAAACAAACTAAGCACACTTGTTTTCGCTTTCAGAGCTTATGTGAGCTTGATGCCGATGGAAATTAGGTGTGCCCCGAGGTTTCCATGGGCAGGTTTTGATGACGCTAATCTTATAATCCAAAAACAAAACCAGAACATCAAAAAAAGATCATCTCTTGACACATCAAACCATACAGTACACATAATTGAAAACCTTCTGAACTTAACTTTCTTGCTGAATTTCTTGACAGCGAAAAATGCCCCCAAACTCTCCCATTCAAACAGTCGAATTTGACAGTGTTTTTGTACTGCTGAACTGTACACGCAGGTCGACATCATCTCCAGCCTCCTGAGTGGAAGGCTGGTGCGGGAGAAGGTGGGTCCCGCGGTTCAGAGCGCGGTTCAGAGTCAGGTAACCACTCAACCTCAGCACAAATGCTCCCAAGTTATGGCTCGCCATGCTCCAGATTAAATTCGCCCATAAGCTCTCTCATTCTCGCATCTATGGAGGCCACCATCACACATGCGTTTTCTTGGCCTACCACTCTTACAATTTAGTTAACCCTTCACAGTTCAGATACATAGTGCGTATGATAGTAGCAGTAGCAGCATTTGTTAGCCTGAATCTGAAGGGGAAAAAGAATTTTGTTGTTCTTGTTGAGTTGTTCTTTGAGTGGGAGTTGGTTCATGCATTGCCCAGAAGACAACCATTGCTACTCATCTAATGCGACCATTTTTTTTTTCTTCTGGGAAAAGGAATTGATGGGCTGATCCGTTTAGTAACATGGCTGTGCTTATCGTGTGGATCACTCACTGTAGTGGGTAATGAGCTCATCGCCCACAAGTGAATGAAAGAAACTTTTTTTTGTGCGTGTGAGAGAGAGAGAATTCAGAAAGAGACTTGCACTAGTACCTAATGATTGCAATTAACTAACTAACACTAATGTAGTGGTTCGGTTTGACGTAACAATCTGATATAATTTGCTATTCAGATCATCATAGATGCTTTACAAAAAATGATGATTATTTTTTTACTGTTTCGCTGTTGGAATTTACCGCAGTTTGTAAACCTTTCGTCAGATTATTTATTTATTTATCTGAATGTTACGTTTGCTTGCAGATAAGCGCCATCAGCTCGCCGTTCGCCGAGACCAGCGACCTGTTCGAGACCGGCGGCACCAAGGGTTTACCGGCGGACACGCTCCGCCGGCTGCCGGCGATCAAGATCACCGGCGACAACGCCGTCGACTCCGCCGGCGAGCCCATCTGCTGCTCCGTGTGCCTCCAGGTTGGCTACTCACCAAATCCTCGTCTCCTTTTTTTTTTCTTTTTGAAAGCATGCACGATTCATCCGACTGGCACGGTTAAATTTAGGTTTATCTAAAAATCTGATGTTAGATTTTTGGTAAAAATATGTTAAATTAGTGTAATTACATATGTAATTTTGAGACTTACATTATAAATATACTAAAATTATCTATATAATTTAGGGACTTACAAAATAAATATATGCTGACTGTTTTCTTGTGAAAATTATAATGACACATTTATAGCAAATCCGTTAAATTTTGCAGGATTTCCGCGTAGGTGAGATGGCAAGAAGGCTACCAAGCTGCCGGCACGTGTTTCACGTGCCGTGCATCGACTGCTGGCTGGTGAGGCACGGCTCCTGCCCGCTGTGCCGGCGAGACATCTGATCGATCGTGATCAAAATCTCGCATCTGATGAACGATCAGTTCATGTCATCGTACTCCGAATCGGACACGGCGATGAATGGTGGATCGAGTTCGTGGTACATAGGTTGTGTGTAGTAGAGTAGAACGAACTACTGCATCCTGATATCCGTAAGGGGAATGGGTGTGAGCAAGTGATTGCAATCTCGTGAAGATGGAGAGAGAATGAGACCTTCCAAAAAAAAATCTTTTTTACTGTCCTTGAGTAGTTACCGGAAGGGAATATTGTACCGTGGTATCTCTGTTGCGTTGAGGTATCGGAATGTATTGTAAATTTACAGTAAAAATCGTTGTAACTTTAGGTATCTTTTCAAGAATACTGGAGGCGAAAAAATGGCATGTGTGTAGCAATCACTTTGATGAGATGAATGAACTGGCAGAAACTGTGGATAAGGAAAAGAGGACAGTTGTTGCTTCAGAGGTTGGCTCGGTGTCATTGTGGTCGATCCTGGCTTGCGTGTGTCTGATGGAACTCTGAAGATCTTGCAGGCTCTGGGACTATGGCCGTATGCTTATCCTTTTTTAAGATAATACAAATATATGATATCCCCGGTTTCTATTATAAGATACACAGCCAACAAGTTCTTACTGAAATAAGTAAAAGTGTGGTAGGATAAATTCCCAGCTACCATTAAGAAATTAAAAACAGCTTAAAAGGCTAAGAATGGCTGTATGCTTATCTGTTGATTCTGAACAATGTTCAGCTCCAGATTTCAGAATTCTCACTCTTCAGATTGAGATGGAACTGAGCTGTATAGGCTAGCCACTGTAAAATTAGGCTTTTAGGCCCAAACTTCTGATGGGCCTCTGCTCACAGCCCAGTAATCCGTTGGTGAGCCCAAACTGAGGATGACTGGGCCCCTCTTCTCCTCCTTTTCACACGTGTATATATGGGCCACCATCTTGGTCCAATAACTGCTTCAACTGCTCCTAGAACCAAAGTACCAAACTAAATTCAGGTCAAAGAAAGAAGAACCAAACTAAATTAAAGATCTTCTAGAAACAAATCTTGATCACCTTATTATGCTAGATGTGGACGGATCAATCAAACCAGCAGAGGGAAAGCGACGTAAATCCGCTGTTTAATTATGAACTCGTGGCTGCCAAATTAAGACTTAAGAGGCACTGAAAAACCAGAGCTTCAGATGTGGGCGGTCCCTGATTTTGGTTAGGGAATTTGGTTCTTCCTTCTTTTCTTCAGTTCCTACTCCCTTTGGCCCCCAGCCAACAAAAATTCAAATGCATGCATCGAACCAAACAGATTATGATGCATCATTGCTTGCGTTCCGGTTTGTTTCTGAACACTGACGTCGTCCTGGTGCCTGCGACGGCATCTGCATGCATCCTCCTCCGTTTTATTTTAAAATTACTTGCAAGATTATCTCAAAATACAACTATTTATCTTCCAACTTTCTCATCTCAACAGATCATAATCATTTCTCATTTCAACCTTAATCTTTTAAGAAAATGCATTACTCCTAAATGCTTAATCCATCTTAAAATATAGTAACATAGTGCTTGATTAGATTGTAGTTCATATTCGTTGAACGTGGACAGAATCGCTATATTGTGTACCATAGGATAAAGGAAGTAATTATATTTGAGACCGAACGAATAGTCCGATATGGATGACACATGCATGTCAGATTGTCAGCTATCTGCTCCCTTGCAGAGTCAGAAATGGAAGACGGGGCCAGAATTCAGCTGCGACGAAGCAGCAGACAACGCTCGACATGGAGCCGTAGTACATGAGCGTGTATACAACGACTTGACAATTGTGTTGAAGAACCAACCACTCGACGAGTCGACGGAGACTTAAATATTATAGTTTTGTGCTCTGGGTTTAAGCTCTGATCTGATCATTGAGCATTATTTGTCTGATGCTAATTAAGGTCAAAACTACACTTGTCTATATCGATTAGCATATTTGGAGAGACACGTGTATATAGCTGGGGTCACTGTGGCACACAAGCCCTGATGTATCATATCCATAAGTATAAGCAGATATTCACGCGACTAGCTACCTTAGTTAATTCCAGATGTCTGATGGTTACAGCGTATATAAACAGTTAAAACACACGTTGAACTTCCCCCAACTCTGCATGTTTTCCTTGCCTCTCTTATGATCGATGATAGAGACATAGAGTATATAATCTAAGATCATACGATGATATGGATATATATATTGACTCTGTCTGTCTGTATGTTCATCTGTATATATCGATCTACTTATCTAGTTCGTCGGCAGCGTATATATTTTAGAGCAAAATCGAGGCTTGCCTTTGCTAACTTATTGATCGCTTGCAGTGCAGACGCCATCATACAGAAACCAATAAGCATCTCAGTTACTAGTAGTATTACGCAATGCATCTGGAAAAACGTCGGCAGAAACAAACCAGCAGCGGCTGCAAGCAGGGACAGACAGAGCGAATCTTCGGTTCCTGTACTATTACTCCAAGACATGCTAAATAATCAAGCGGATTTGACATGTCGATTCAAGCAAATCTCGCCCCGCGTTGTCCCGTCCCTTAATGTGTGCAGCGTAATGCAGGGATTTCTTCACAAAAAAGTTCAGTTTTCCAGCGTCATCGATCCCGACGCTTAAATTAGGCTGTGTTTAGTGCAGCGCTAAAGGTTAGATTTTTGTTGAAATTAGAAATAATATGACTAAAAAGTTGTGTTTGTATGATAGGTTGATGTGATGGAAAAGGACTGAAGTTTGGATCCAAACTTTATATATAAACACAGCCTTAATTAACTTCTCTCTTCTCAAGTTCACATCTAATGGAATAGAATATCCCGGTTTTTGCTCAAAACGAGTTACAGCCAATTATTACAAAGTTGTACTCAGAGTGTAGTTCAACAAAACATTGAGAACACGCACTTAAAATAAAAAATAACCCATCTAAGATAAGGAGAACACGTTATTAAAGTCTATTTGAAATCTCCAACCATAATTGACAAAAAGTTGCATAACTGTCGTCTCAAGCCTACGGCATGCAAACTTCATAAACTCGTCATCTTCATCACACCTTTGTAACTGAGCGCAACACCGGAGCCAATATGTTGCCCTGAAAATTACCTGCATATATGTAATAGATGGTGATTTGTCAAAAACCAAATTATTCATGCTCAACCACAAAGCCTAACATATTGCAGAGGCTCCCACAAGTATAAGCTTACTCCTTTTCTTGTCCACCCCCAAACCAACCATCAAAAATATGTGATATACTACTAGGAGGGCAAAGACCAAAAGAATATTGTATTGCTCTCCCTATAAAGTTTGCATAATGGCAATCCATGAAAAGATGTTGAATATTCTCATTTTTTATTAAAAAACAACATCTTAAACTACCATTCCAATTTCGTCTTGCTATATTGTCTTTGGTTAACACAACCCCTTTAAGTAAGTACCACATGAAGATCTTAATCTTAAGCGGCATCTTAAGCTTCCCAATCATTTTATTTCTCTCAATATAACCATTATTAATTAAAGCAAGATACATTAACCTAACCGAGAACCTTCCATTCTTATTAAAGTTCCATCTAAAACAATCGGAAGAATGATTTAGCTGGATATGTATAATAGAAGCACACAACTCATACCAAAAAATAAGATTCTGACCAACTAAAGTTCTCCTAAAAGAAACATTAAGTGGAACAGATCTCATAACACTAGTAATTGAAGAACATTTCCTTCGGACAATGGCATATAAAGAGGGATACTTATCTTTAAAGGCTAAGTTACCTAACCATTTATCTTCCCAAAATCTAGTTTGTTCCCCACTATTCACAATCATGGAACCCATGTTTAAGAAAGTATCCTTAACTTTCATGAGACCTGACCAAAAATGAGAGTTACCTTGCTTCTTATCAACTTGAGTAATAGACTTATTATGAAGATATTTCCTCCTCAATAAGTCTTGCCAAACCCCTTGTTCATTAATTAACTTAAACAACCATTTGCTCAAAAGACATTTATTTTGTATTTCCAAATTATGAACCCCTAAACCACCCTGATCTTTGGGCCGGCAAATGATATCCCATCTAGTAAGTCTGTACCTTTTCTTATGATCATATCCTTGTAAAAAAAGCGAGATTTATAATAATCAATTATTTGAAGTATCCCTTTCGGTATCTAAAAAAGGAAATCATAAACATAGCTAAACTTGAAAGTACAGAATTAATCAACACCAATCTACCACCCACAGACATATACTTACCTTTCCAACTACTAAGTTTTTTCTCAATTCTTTATTCAATAACCTTCCAGTCTTTGTTACCTAGCTTTCTAAAATGTATTGGAATACCAAGATATTTGACAGGAAGAAAGCCTAACTTACAACCAAAGATATTAGAAGAGTAAAATGCACCAGCGGTCCTTAAACTTGTCAGCAGATTTTACTTAGGTCCACGAACTTGCAAAGCGCACATTGAGATATCTAAACTTGGTTTATTGTATCATCCCGGTCCAAAGCCGCGTTTGACCGTGGTCTTATTTACGTGGCATGCCACGTGGACGATGACATGGATTTTTTTTATTTTTCTCCCTTCTTCCTTCTCTTTTCTCTTTTATGAAAGGACGATGACGTGTATGAGGCATTTTCATCTTTTCGACAAGGAAGAAAGAGAAAAAAAGAAGGAAGAAAGGAGAAAAAATAAAATAAAAATCCATGTCATCGTCCACGTGGCGTGCTGTAACGCCCCGATTTTCGTTCGGGATTAAAAATCATTTAATAATGCATTTTCTAGAAATTAAATAAAAGTTAAACCAATTTAATCAAGTGGAATTATGGAGTAAATTAAAATTTCCTTTAAAAATCATTGGCCGAGAATATTCTGTAATATTCTTTGTGCCCTAATGTACTCTCTAGAATTTTCCGTGAATTTTCGGAGCTCAAGAAATAATTTTAAAAGCACCAAGTTCATTTTAACCAACTAAATAAAAAGAAAAACAATTAAAATCCCCCTTCCTCTCTTTGGGCTATTTTCGGCCCAAGTCTTCCTTCTCTCCCGTGGCCCGCGCGCCCCTTTTCTCTCCCTCTCGAGCCGGCCTCCTCCCTCGGCCCGCTCGGCTCTCTCTCTTCCTCAAGTCTGCTTTACTTCCCTCGCCCGTTTTCCTCTCTCTCTCTCCCCGACAGGTGGGACCCGAGGCCCCACCTGTCATCTTCTTCCCCAACCTCCCGTCGCCCCAACTGCCGCCATGGCCGCCGGTTTCGCCCCCACGACGCTGCGGCTCCCGCGCTCCACCCCGCCCCACGAGCACGTGAAATCGATCCCCTCCACCTCCTCCACCTTTCCCCCCCACTCTCCCCGCGAAAATCGGCGCCGGTTAATGTAACACCCTGAAAATTCGACCGACAAAATCAAAACTCTAAAAATACGGATTTTCAAAAACTTTTTAAATTAATTGCATCATGCCGATCTTATTCGTCTATTTTATCTGGATTTGATCTCGAAGATTATTAATCGTGAGTAAAGAATAGTTAATTAGGAATAAACCTTAAAAACAAATTGGTAAAATAAATACAAATTAAAATAAAGATTAGGTGTGGATAGAAATAAATAAAATATTATCGCGACCATATTTGGATCAATTAAATTTAAATACGATGGAATAAGAATTAACCCTAATTAAAACTCAAATAAATTATATAAAAATAAAATATGAGTAATATTAATCTAGGGTGAATTCATTAGTTAAGATAACACAAATATTGAGTAAAATGCATATATGTAAAATTAGGAATTGTGGAATCAAATTTATATGGAAAATACACTAAAATCGGGATAAATAGGAAAAGTCACTGTTCATTGCCTCATAGGTGTTCGATTTCGGTCCCTAGCCCTAGACCCTTCTCTGTCACGCGCCCAGCCATGCCCCGAGCCCCGCGCCGCCGCTGCCGCGCCGTCGCCGTCACCATCCCGTCGCGCCGTCGCCTGCCGCCGCGCCGACGTCGCCATCGCCGCCTGTTGCCGTCGCCATCGCTGCCGCGCCGCCCTAGCCGGCCTTGCGCCCCGCGTCGCGCGCCGCCCCGTCGCCCCGCGACGCGCCCCGTGCTGCGCTGCCTCGCGCCCCGAGCCGCCCGCCCGTCCCATCGCCGCTCGCCCGTCGTCTCGCCCCGTCGCCGTCGCGCCGCGCTACCGTCGCGTCGCCGCCCGTCGCGTCCCGCCCCGAGCCGCGCGCCGCTGCTGTCGCCGCCGCCGTCGACGTCCCGTCGCCGCGCGTCCCATCACCGCCTCGCGCCCCGCGCCGTCGCGTCGCCCTTTCCCTTCTCTTTCTTTCCCCCTCCTCTCCCCTATAAAACTCCACACCCTCCCCATTTTCCCCACTCCATCTCCCCCTTCCTCTCCCTCTTCCCCTTCTCTACGCGCCGCCGTTGTCGTGCCGCCGCGCCGCCACCTTCGAAGCCGCCGCACCGTCGCCCCGGAGCCGCCGCGCCGTGCGTCGCCGCCTTGCGCCGCCGTCGCCGTCGCGCCGCCCTCGCGCCGCCGCACCGCTACCTTCGTGCCGCCGCGCCGTGCGCCGTCATCGCGCCGCCGTCGCCGCCACCGCCGTCGGTAAGCCGCCGCCTCCTTCCCTTGCTCGGTCGCCGTCGCCGCCCCAGGTAGCAGGGAGCCGAGAGAGAGGGAGGGAGAAGCCGAGGAAGAGAGAAAGAAGCCGGGAGGGAGGGGAAAAGAAAAGAAAAGGAAAGGAGAGAAAAAGAGAAAAAGAAAAGAAAAAGAAAGGAAAGAAAAAAAAGGAAAGGGAGAAAAAGGAAAAGGAAATAAATAGGAAATTAGAGGGAGATTAGGGAAGTTTAGAAAATTTAAAATAATTAGAATTTAATTATAGATTAACTATAGTCGTAGAATTGCAAAATTTAATATAAATTATGGATTATTCTTGGTAATTTCTATAAGAAATCAATTCGCTGTAGTAATTTAGATGTAATTAATAACTAAACAAATAGATGAATTCTTATAGATTATTATAGATTATTTTTGGGTAATCCCTATAAGTAATCGATTCACGGTAGAAATTCGGATTTAATTACTAGGGATTTTAGCCGTGTATTATATTTAATCATTTAGTCATAGACTAAATTAAATCATATAATATTTCTAGGATTTCGTCCGATATTTAGCTCGCGATAGAAATCTCTAACCTATTATATGGATATAATGCTCAGGTAGATTAAATTAAAAACTTATGACAACAAAACATTTATACCCGTAAAATAGTTTGAATCGAAATTGGGTTTGCCTTAGTTCGCGAATAATAAAGTTAAAATAAAGGAATCGACTTTCGCATTCGACTTTCATTTGGATTTATTTGGATTTTGTTTGAATTCTAATCGAATTCAAATTGTTCTTTCGCACATAATTATAGAGACCGAGGGAGCCGCGGATCCGGGTGAAGGCCAAGACCCGCAAGACCTTGAGCAAGGCAAGTCATCACTATTCCTTGAACATGTTGATCCCAATTGCGAAATTATTTTGTTTATAAATAAAATTGCATGCAATGATGAACATCCTACTTGTGATTATGCCATGCCTTGATTATTGTTTATCCCTTATTCCTTCGTAATCATGTTTACGTATGAGTCCCTAGTCAATTATGACAATTGCTTAGAAATGCTATTCTAGGATCATGCATACTCATATTTATCAAATGCTAAATGCTTGGGCAATTACCTTTGGGAAGGTAATTGAGATGCGGCATGTGGAGACATGAGCGCCACATTGCCATGAAATTGATAACATGATTTGTGAAAGGAAAATAAAGCGAAAACAACTGTTTTCGACTGGGGCGGACGGATGATTTGGGTGGTATCTGGAAAAGGCTAGTACCGTCCCCAGTCAATTAAGGACCGAGCCATGAAGTTAAGCATGAAACAACCCCGTACAACCGTACTTCTCGAATGGGTATAGACCTAGCGGATTAGATAGCCGAGCGGAGGCAGTATCCCTGCATAGATGGTTCACCCCTGAGTGAGGCAGGTGCGCTACGATGGGACAGCCGTTGAGGTAGGGCCGAGAACCGTGCCCTACATCGGTGTCGCCATTGGTAGGACTGCCATGAGTGTGTGAGAGAGAACT